TCGGCCACAGCCAAGCTCAAGGCCTCGAAGCCCAGCATCCGCACCCTCGTGTCCGTAGGCGGTGGCACGGGCAGCGCCGAGTTCCCGGCCCTGGCTGCTAATCCTACCGCGCGCGCTCGTTTTGCCAAGGAGATCAAGGCCTTTTGCGACAAGTGGCAGCTCAACGGTGTTGATAGTAAGTTTTACTATCCTCGTATTCTCACTGGTTTCTGGCTCTGACATTTGTCCAAGTTGATTGGGAACACCCAAGCGACGCCAAGCAGGGCAAAGACTACATCAGCCTCCTCAGCGACGTCCGCCAACAGATGCCAGCGGGCAAGTACCTCATCACATCGGCCCTGCCGCCGGGCCAATGGGTGCTCAAGAACATCGACCTCAGGCGAGCCGCCTCTCTCCTTGACTACCTGAACCTAATGTGCTACGACCTCACGGGACCCTGGACCGACGTCTCGGGCAACCACGCCCAGCTCCTGGCGTCGAAGACGCTGGTGAGCAACAACCCGAACCTTAAAATCGCCTGCGCGGACGGCATCACCTACGTCACGAGCAACGGGTTCCCGAGCCGGAAAGTGCTGCTCGGGATCCCGGCGTACGCACGCACCTTTCCTAATGCGAAAGGGCCGGGCGGATCGACAAAGGGGTCGGCTGAGGTTGATTACTGCGACATGTCGAATGATAGTGTTGATAAAGCGACTGTGGACACAACTGCCGCTGCCGCTACTTATGTTGATCCCAAGTATGGGTTCATGACCTTTGATGTGCCGAGATCGGTGGCCATCAAGGCTCAGTATGCGAAGAGCAAGGCTCTTGGTGGGTTATTCTACTGGACTGGGGTAGGAGATCGGAAGGGGAGGCAGAGTCTTGTCCAGACTGGGTTTAATGAACTGAATGGCATCAAATGAGCCTGGTTCATGCGGGGTGGGGTCGAAAAGGCTCTCGGTGTGTTTTACCATGGATCCAGGTGCATATCCTGGCCTTTGCACGAGGCACATACAGACAGCTGGGTTGGAAAGGCTTGCATACCAAGATGCAGATAGCCGTGAATATGAATAATGAACATAAATCCCAAGTCGTCGGATTTACTATCCAGAGTACCAACTAGCTAGCTTCTTCGCGGACGATTAGGAGAAGGGATCTCGAGATAATTCCAAAACCTTGAGGAATCGATTTGTGGGCCTCTGAGTCGCACGAGAACCTGTTGTGAGACATGAGCCCATTATGAAGGGAGTCCACATGAAAAAAGCGGAAGCGCTCGTGAGACAATAGAATCTAGGAATTGAGCATGATTTTAAGCTTGAAATAGTACTTACAGTGGCGGGTACGTCCCCCGATGAGATTGTCCGGCAAGCGCCCACGGGGTGCCCCATCCGGCCGGTACTGGAGGGGCCGTGATGACCCACTCGGTAGCCGGCAGCGCTCCCATCCAATCGCCGGCTCGTTGTGCAGGGGCCAACAAGCGCGGACCTCTTCTTATTTCTCCTGAGTCCCTGTCACTTTCTCAGGTTCTCCCCCTTGAACACACAAATTCACAGTTCAACAGCTCCTTTTTCGTCTCATCTTTCCGCCACGATCCCCGCGCCATCCCTTCAGGATCTGCCGCCCTGCTACACGAGCCGTTTCACGCGCCGGGCCATCCCAACCAACCGGAGGCTCAATTCTCTCTAGCTGCATTTGAACCTTGTGCAGCTACTTTGCCATGTGGCGCATACCACCGAAACTCTCGAGTCCCAATCTCCACCGAGTTATCCGTTGAACGAGTGTTCGGACGGCACTCTGTCAGCTTGTCACCAGAAAGACGGGAATGATGCGCAGCAGGGAGGGGGGCTTGGCCGAGGAAGGTTTCCCATATTCTCCCCGGGCCCCAGCCGCCAAACGAAACCTCGCTGCAAGATAGGAATCTCGTGAAACCATGTTCAGACCCTAGCGCTCGCGCTTCTTGGGGGAAAGCAAGAAGGGACAAGATTGCATGGGACCGACGATGGCTTTTGGCGTCAATGGGATGGCGCTTGGATGCTCAGTGGCGGATGATGGATGATGGATGATGGATGACGGATGACAGGCGACAGATGGGCTGGTCTTCAATGACAGGCCGAGTATAAGGGTCCATCTGCCGCCCTATTCTCTCACATGAGGTATTTGCCTTCGATATTGCTGCATCGACTTGGTGTTATCGTGGTTTCTTTCCGTGTCTTTCCCCTTTTCATTTCCCTTCGTTTCATTGTCAACACACCCTGCTGTGCAGGCTTTCATTCTTTTCCCACACACTCATTTACTATAGGTTTTCTCTTACCATCCATCACCATGATTTCTCAAACAGCAACCTTCCTGGCTTATGCCACGCTTCTCGTGTCCGCCAGCCCTCTCGCCCTTCAGCGCAGGGCCGTCACGGAGCTCAACGAGGAGGCCACAAAGGAGGCGCATCCCCGCGACGACACTGCCACGCGCGCTTTCTCTGACGTCCAGATCAAGACAGCTGACGAGAAGTGCCTCTTTGTCGACAAGCTGTCCGGAGACTTCCGGGCGAACCTTACCCCGATCCAGGTAGCTGATTGCGGAGCGACGGACGGCCAAGGGTGGGACGTCATCACTGCTGGAAAGCACAATGACCAGCTCAACTCGATGCTCATCGTCAGCACTCTGGTAAGTCCACTCCCTGTATCCCCTTCATGTGGGTTCCCAAGAGAAAGGGATGCTGACTTTATGACGACAGACGCAAGCTTGCTTCAACTTTGACCCTCGTCGCGCAGCGGGTAATCAGGTCAATCTCTTCTCCTGCGGCGGACGCGCAGCAGGCGAGGGCCTAGTCACGGACTCCCAGCTCTTCGCCGTAGACAGCGGAGCGGGACCTTCGACCTTCCAGCCCAAGAATGAGAAGGGCAAGTGTTTCGCGGTCAAGGGCAAGGTGGTGGACATTGCGGACTGCAACGCCGACGACAAGGCTCAGTCCTTTGCCTTTGGCGGGAAGCCTGCGTTAGTCGGCGGAGGTGCCGGCGCAGGACGAAATGGGACTGGCAATGGGGCGGATAACGGTGCTCAGCAGCCTGCGCCAACCACGACAGCAGCGGCCGTTGTGACGGGGAAGCCTTCCGCCGGATGCGATGACCACGACGAAACCGTCACCATGACGCTGACGACCACGATCAAGCCCGGCCAGGGCAACGCCCCCGTCGCGACCGCCAAGCCCGAGGCAACGTCCGCTCCGGCGGCAGCACAGCCCGCCGCCTCATCGACCCCAGCCGCCGGAAACGGCCAGAAGGGAAACATCCCCGCCGCCAACTCCACCTCGCCCGTCCCCGTCTCCCGCGCCGGCGGCACTCTGAACCCGACCGCCGCAGCCGAGGCCAACGCCTTTGACGACACGGCCACCCGCGCGTTTACAAAGGTGGCCATCCAGGCGCACAACGGGCAATGTCTGTCCATTGACCCCACCGCCGGCGACTTCCGTCAGAACCTCATCCCCGTCGCCGTGACGGCGTGCGACAAGGCCTCGCCGAACCAGCAGTTTGACGTGATTTCCAAGGGAAAGCATAACGACGGCAAAGACGGGGCGATGCTGATTGTCAGCAGCCTCACCAACGGGTGCGTCAGCACTGACGGACGGCGGGCGGACGGTGACACGGTCACGCTCTTCTCGTGTGGAGGTCGTGCTGCGGGCGAGGGGCTTACGAATACCGGGCAGCTGGTCAAGGTCTTCGGAGACAGCTTCTTGTGGTCGCCTGTGAATGATGCGGCCACGTGTGTTGTTCCTGGGAACCAAGGTCGTTTGGTTACGGCTGCTTGCAAGGGGGACAATAGTGAGACGTACAAGATTGTTGCTTAGGAGACAGAGCGTGGGTGTCGAAGGCAGCTTCTTCTTGGCGGGTGATTTTGGACATTTGGTATACTTCTATTCTTCGTCGTTGACGACTTTTATATTTGGCAAGTGGATATTTTTGGGTATGTTCATGAGAGAAATTGGTCAAGATGGGGAGGGGAGTACATGGAATTAGATGATTCGCAGCAATGTATCATACCTTACTTTTAGGTAAAGTAAGGTAGGTAGAATGGGACATGGCTCTTCTCCATGTCTTTTCTTGCCAAATCTAAACGGCATTCCAATTCCGAGATATCGATCATGGCGGCTAGTGAAAAGCTTGACATTACTTTCCAGTCTGATGGGTCAAGGCTAGACTCTAGACTGGGTCATCTAGAGGTGATCATTGCAGCAGGGGAGGCTTGACGCGGATAACCGGCACCAGCCGAGAGCTTAATCGCTGTCACTCGCTGTAGCGTCCAATAGCGGGTGGTGGAAGTAATTAGTGGAGTTGTTACCTGTATCCGTACAATTTACTGTACTGCCAAGCGACGTCATTAGGGGGTTCATCGCGACTATCCGTAACCTGCCCTGCTTTGTTTTCTCCTGGAAGATGTGCCGAGGAGGGAGGGGGGCCTCGTGTCTCCCGTTCACTTTCGCTTCGCTTCTTTTCTGCCGGCGTCGCACAACATCAAACCATCCCGCGTGTCTGCAGCCACCAACATCACTCTGTTCATCCATCCATTTACGGACACCCATCCATCCATATTCGTCGTTAAGTCTCACCTTCAAGTCAGCCATCGCAACCCGTCTCGCCCAATTGAGATGCTTGGACTACGTCTCACGTACACTGCCAGAGAAAACGACCTTGCTAGATGCGGCTGAAGAGCGCCATTCTGCGACACTCGGCGCTGATTTGACGATTCGACGCCACGACCAACGCGAAACTTGCCGTCTTTCCTTTTCTTGTCTCCTCCGTCCGAGCCAAGCTTTACGCCGTTGCGGTTCCTGAACCCCTAGCGTACCAAGCGCCACGCGACGAAAAGCTTCGTTTCTCGAAATATTAATGTCTTGAACTACCTACCAACCGACCGACCGATCTCTTTCATCTTCTCTTCTTCCCTCGTCACCACATCTACTCTGCCTAACCTACCCGGGGACGTGTGCGACCGTCATGTCGCCCGGCACCGACTCTTTCGGCGCACCAATGTCAAAGACAATCAGCGAACCCGACGACAACGCGCGCACCGTCCGATTCCCGTCCTTACAGATCGATACCCGCGACCATGCCGCTTCCCCAACCTCGCCCACGGCGCGCGTGCGTGTCGCCGCTCCTAACGATGTCGGCGCACCTCTGACCCGCGCCTCTACCGACCAGAACATATCCCCTATGCGACGACGCGCAGGCACCTTCAAGCCGGTAGAAGACTACGGAGACTTTGAAATGTCTCGCCCCGGATGGCAACCCGGCTCCGAGCCCGGCTTCGATCCCAATAAGTCGGACGGCGGCCACGCTTCCATGCCCGCCCTCCGCGCCGAGTGCGACATCTCCGTTTTCGACTTCAGCCAGGGCAACATGGTCCAACACAAGTTTAGAAACGAAGAGTTTGTCGACTTCTTGCGGAAACCCCAGGAGCCGTGGGTCCAGAGCCGCTGGATCAATGTCAACGGTCTCAGCTGGGACGTCATCCAGGCCTGCGGAAAGTACTACAAGCTGCACAAGCTCGCCATCGAGGATATTATGAACACGAGGAACCGCACAAAGGCCGACTGGTACGCCAACCACGCCTTCATCGTTATGACGCTGCAAAAGCTCGTCCTCCTTCTCGACGACGACAGCAGCAGTAGCAGCAGCAGCAGCAGCGACGACGATTCGGACGACGTAGCGAGCGTAAAGACGGCAAAGTCCGGAAAGGGTATGAAGAAGCTGAAGCGCGCCTTTACCATGGGCGGCAAGCCGAGACCAGACCCCGAGACGGGCAGGCAGAGGGCCGGCAGACCGACCATAGTCACGCAGGGCGACGGCAGCGGCTACGGGGCCCAGCTGAACCGTAACATGAGCGAGCTCTCCCAGCTCAAGGAGACGGCCTTTGTCCGCACTCTCCAGCGCTACCACGCCTCGGCCAACGAGGTCCGCACAGAGTACATGGAGCGCCACTCCTCTCTCATGTCCCGCGGCCTCGCCGTCTCCGCCGAGCAGGTCGCCATCTTCCTGACTTCGGACAACACCGTCATCTCCTTCTTCGAGATGTCGGCCGAGGACATCGAACGCCCCATCACCGTTCGCCTCGGCGATCCATCCACCATCCTCCGCCAGTCCTGCGACGCCTCCCTCGTCGTCCAGGCCATCATCGACGCCATCATCGATCTCGCCATCCCCCTGACAGCCGTCTACAGCGACGTCATCGGCGACCTCGAGCTCGACGTCCTCACGAGCCCGAGCATCAAGCAGACCCGCAGCCTCTACATCTGCGTCAGCGAGATCAACAAGATGCTCACGTTCCTCAACCCCATCGACAACCTCGTCAACGTCCTGCGCGATCACCGCACCGAGCTGTCGCAGGACGAGGCGGCGCGCCAGCTGCGCAACCCGGCCAGCGGCGTCATCGTCACGCCGCTCACGCACACATACCTCGGCGACGTGCTCGATCACTGCGTCATCATCACCGAGTCCATGCAGCAGATCAAGCGGTCCGCCGATAACCTGATTGATCTCATCTTCAACACCATCTCGGCCAACCAGAATGAGAGCATGAAGCAGCTGACCATCATTACCATTATATTCCTGCCCCTGACCTTCTTGACTGGCTACTTTGGACAAAACTTTGAAAAGTTTCCGGATATCCAGAATCCGATGGGCATTCAATTCTTGTACGTTGAGACCACCCCCTTCGCTCCGCAGCTATCAAACTAATCAAGAAAACAGCTGGGTTATTGCTTGCCCTGTAGTCTTTTGCACAATCATCATCATGATGCGCTCCTGGATCTGGGCCTGGCTCGAGTCGTTTTGGCAAAAGAGGAAAATCAGCGCCGAGAGGAAGAAGCAGAACAAAAAGAGGGCGCGAAGGGCCAAGAGGAGGGCCAAGAGGGATTAGGAACCCCGCCCCGGCCGCCGCTTTCCTTCGAGGTCGAGGCCTTGGTCGTGACTGTTGGTCTCCTATCATGCTTGTGTATTGTGATACCCCCTATTTTCTGTTTTAGACCCCACCTAGATCTTTCTGTATACCACTACCCAATACTAGAGCTTCGATTGAGCGGGCTTTTGAGCGTCGCTACGACAATTTGAGATTTCTCTACACGTGAGAAACTTACAGTACGCAGGAGTTGAGGTGGTTCACTTCCATCTCCTTCTTGGGCTCACATGAGATTAGGAGGTAGGCAATGGGTCATGAGACATCTCTGTTCAAACTTGCAAATCTAACCTGCTTCGAGTCGTGTATCCCACTTTCATCCGATCATACCAGCATCCCCCTTTATGCGACAGGTCCACCAGCCTCAGGAAGGCCGCACTACAAAAACACACACACACACCGCAATCAGCAAACTATTCTTCGCTCCTCCTTCAATGGAAGGGGTAAAAGGGGGGAAACTCACGTAATAAACAACCAAGCTCCCACCGTCAAAGATCGTCTCCAGCGAAACCGTCTCCCCCTCCTTGGGCGCAACAGTCACATCGCTCCTCGTGTTCCACGCAATCTGCGCCACGGAAGCCGGCTGCCCGACACCGGGCGTCACGGTCGCGTTCGCCCACACGCCCGGGTCGCCCGCCGTCGCGGCGGCGAAGACCTCGACGCCGACCTGTTGGGGCGGGTAGGGGCTGCCGTAGCCGACGGCGCCGGCGACCTTGATGACGAGGGAGCCGGAGAAGGGGGAGGCGATGGAGAAGTCTGTGATGTTGGCGGAGGGGGAGGAGCTGCTTTGGGCGCCGTCGAGAACGACTTCCAGGGGAGTAGCGGCGTCGCAGCCTGTGGTTGGGTGGGTTAGTCAGTGGTGTGGTGGGATGCGATGCGATGCGATTGAGGTCGTCCCAAGTTTTAACGCGCAATCTTTCATCTTTTTCCCTCTCCTCCCCGCTACGGCCGGGCGGGCCGGGAGGTTGGAGTTCGGATGAAAGTATGGGGGGGATGTGCTGTTACTTACGGGAGTAGTCTGCGCGAACGCCCCATGAGCCCTGCGCCACGGCAGCGCGGGCACCGCCAGCGGCGAGGAGAGAGGTCAGAAGAATAGAGGCATACATGTTGTTGTGAGTAATTGTGAATATGTAAGTCCGTTGGTAAGTCAGGTTTTCCTCAAATCCAACTTGGACACAACGGCGGGAATCAATCTCTTTTTGTATCCGCCCACGCGGGAGTTCATCCCGCCATTTCGGTACCTTCGGGGGACGTTCATGGGTTTATAAAAAGCATCAAAAGCACCAAGCCCTACGCCGTGATGGTGCGCGATTGCGCTGCCAAGCAAACCAAATCTAAAGAGGTTTTATTAAGTATGAACTCTATATGCAGACGCCGGTGGACGTTCAGTGGGACCCGAGGAATTGGTCATTCGTCGTTTGGCGTTGCCCCTCCCTCGTATGTAATTTATATTAAGTTGGTCTGCTCACGGCGAACGAGTCAGTGGATATAAGTGTTGGTCATACCTGTCGAAAGGGGAGAAAAGGAGTAAAGTATCGCTCCTTTTTCTATTGTTAATTCAAAAGGAGAAATAAGTTCGCGACGCGAGTACTGAAGTTGGGTGTTAACAACATTTTAGTGTGTTTTTTTTTTGTCAAATTTGGCTGTGTCTGTTGGTGGTGACTACTGAGGAAATGCTGTTCGACTGCCCAATATTAGGTTCTACGAAAGTTATAATCCCATAAGCCTAGTTTTGAAATGTGTCTCTTGAGAGCAAATAATTCATCTGATTAAAGGCGCTGTAAACTGGATTGAGATTTGATTTGTCTGGCTCGGCAATTGTCTGGGTTAACCTTGGACCCTTAGATTCTCATGGACTAAATTTCTGTGCAACATATCTACATGTAGACAACGTGGTTATTTTGTTGCCTTCCCAGCGCTGTAGTGATTCGTGTACGAAAAACAAGGCTATAAATTTTCAACGATATGACCTCATATGTCTGCCCCTCGGACCTTCATAGCCGGCCCGGCTATTCTGAAGTATCGTAGGTGTGTAATGATCACTAAAAGTCAGAAATCAAGCTTTGATCTGAGCCTTCAAATCGGGGCTAACTGGCGACGAGGTAGTCCTGTCGAAGTGAACGCCCCATAACGACGATTGGAATTTACTTTCCCTATCAAGGAGCCCGTTGAATCTAACCGCATTGGCAAAAACGGAGCTTTTCTGTACTCAATCTTCGTTACAAGATGAGTAGACTACAACGCATCGCGTAGAAAGTTTTGCTAAGCTCTTCGAATGTGTTGTTTTGAGCACAACAGCCATTCATGACAGAGATGCTGAAGCCAAAGGTAGGATGCCTTAGGGCCATACCTACCGGGTCTGGTGCATTTGGCGAGTAATTGGCTTATTGGATCATTGTGAAGGGAAGCATAGCTTTGAATTGAGGTGATCGTTGTACTCCTTACGCTTGACCTATACTTTGGGCTAGTGAAGCTTGCACGGGCACGGCAGCGGAGATATATTGCGGCCTCGGCCAGTTCAGGTCTGGTCAATAAGTGTCATTGTTGTTGACATCGGCTATGTAATCAAACAAAACACCGAACTGGCTCAATGTAGAATAGTTGCCGGCGACAATACTAATCATGTAAAATCTGCACACATGTTATATATAAAGCCAACTCTCTCATTCACTCATTCGAATTCAAGAAATTCTTGACATCATACACAATACATTCATACACACCTCCCACATCACCGAGTTTTCATCATGAAGCAGTTCACCATTGTCACTCTGGGCCTCCTCTCAACAGCGTTTGCCCTGCCCCCTCAGCAAGATGCTCAGCATCCAGGTAAGGAATCTTGACTCGGCCTGGGCTCATCCGGAATCGCATTCACTAAGACGGAGAATCACTAGGTCTCGTCCCGCGGGCCGCTATCTGCAAGAATTTCTACCTTTCCAAGAAAGACGGGTCTGGCAACGGTCCATGGACTTGCTGCTGCGCCAACACCCAGTGCACGGTCAGCTGGGGGGTCACCTCAACCGCCAAATTGAACGCCAATCTCGGTGGTGACTGGTCGCCGGTTGATGACAAGTATCACATGTATGTCGCGGCTGGAAGTCGTTGCGATCACTAGATAGCTGCTACATCTTCAGAACATGGCATGTGTTGCGAGTTATGGCACGCAGCAATGGTCATACGGAGTGTGGTACAGTGGCTTGATCTACCAAAGTGGGAATAGATAAAAGGAAATGGTCTATATACGAGATGTATGTGATATACATGTGGTACAGCACGTGACAGGCACTTCGCGGGTTGCGATTCATACCCCTGTTATGTGAAAGCATGAGATGCCTCTGGTTCCAGTCTATCCCACCTTGATAATTGCCCTTCGTAATATTTGATGATGATAAATTTCAAGAATCGACTCTTGAAGAAGAAGAAGGAGAAGGATGAAAGTATACCTCCCTCCCCTTTCAAAATGCGAAAGCAGTCGTCTTTCTTGTGTAACCACACGTTTCCATTGCAGAGCGAATACGCAGTTGCTGGCAGCTTAGAAGGAATCTAAACTCACCGCAATCCCACGGTCTCTCGCTCACATGTCTCATGCCGTCGAGATCTACGAGACCTTGAGGTCTCTTGAATTCGGGACCAATGCGCTGGCTCCTAGAGGAAGCAATCATGGGGCGGGGGGTGGGAGAGCTCTGGAGACTTGGATAGCTGTTGAGCCAAGACTTGAAGAAAGAAGCGGAGGCTCGGCGAGTGAATATGTTGCTTTAAGACTTTGTCTATCTCTATTCCTAGTTTTTTTGGATTCTTTAGAACAATAGTGGTCGCGCGTTTGTACCCGCGGAGTTTACGCCTTCCAGGATGTCTTCTGCAAATGACATGACCCTGCATCTTCGCACATGGCATAGGCGGACGATGTAATGTAAGTAAAGTAGGTAAACCAACTTCCATTCCAACCATCTTCGAGGAATCGGGTGAAAATCTAGAATCTGACAACCTTCTAATGGCCAATTTCATCGCTTCCCAGCATCCTCCGCCTTTTCTCCATCTGCGATCGAGTCCCGGCCAGTATTCTGCCGTTGATGATGATCACACTCCTGCCGGCCAGCATTCATCTCCCAACTCAGAGCACTGAACTTCCATTTGCCCCAACCAAGCCGCAGGTCAAAGCTACTATGGAAGCCTCGAACCTGTCGCTCTGGTTGTTCATCTTGAGGGTTCTTGACAATCTCCCACTCCTCTTCGCCTGTCTTCTTCTCGTCGCATCGGCCTTGCGCTGGGGTATCGGAACTGGATCTCTCCTTGACCGACGAGTTTTGCTCTGGTGTCAACAGTCAGTCGAGATGTTTTCTCGAGAGAGGATGTGCAAGTAGTGTAGGTGACAAGACATGCCTGGCGGGACGCGATACGTGCCTCCCTGCTGTGCCATTTCGATGGTTCTGGTCTTCGACTTTTGGAAAAGACGTGAAGATAGAGGATGACGAACGTCAGCATGGGCAAACCTCAGCCCCTCTTCTATGGTCTTGGAACTTCAGTGGCGGAGTACCTCATCCCAGCCTAGGCTTTGCTAGTTGATCGACAATCAAAGACTCTTTGATTGGTTGACGGTCACTTAGTCTTCGATGAGCCTCTGTGGCGCCTCATTAACTCGTATAAATACATCCTGTTTGTTTTCGCTTGGCTGAAGACGATCGCCTATCTTTGGCAGTTTATTGACTAGTTCTAGTTGTTTAATATGGATATGCAAGTATGGTGGTATCTCTATTGGGCTTCCGTGTTACGAAGGAAGATTGAGACTCGGTTCAATCAAGCCCCTCCTCATCTGATGGAGGTTCCAGGCAGTTCGCTCTGGGTGTGCTGAGTATTCCCAAACAACCCTTCAGCCTCCCGCAGAATCTCGGCGACAGGTCCCCACTTCGTGTTTGAAACTGTTTTCTCTCGACAGTACCCTCAGCCCGCCAGGGAAGCCTTTCATTGAATTTCTTTGTGTCCTCAAGTCGCATGGCGATACAAGAAGAGCAATTTGCGATGTGACAACCTCATACGTCTCCGAGTCGATCGTAGGTTGGCGTAAATATCGAGGCGTCGCTGAGGTGAAAGATACGCCTCGTATTGAACAATCGTCCTCAAACTCTTAATGAGTTTCATTTATCCCAACCCTTCTGGCTCATGACTCCATCACTACTTCTTGAGCTTCCTGATACAGGATCCTTCTGTAACACGACATTGTTTTTAGGCGTCTTCGGAGGATCCGTTTCCATCGGGCTCGCATCGCTGAGGTTGTTGAGGTCGATATCGTTGAAGTCTCCGACTAGATGCGCTATCGAGGACTCCTCGTAGGACACGAGTCGCGGTCGGTCATTGGGGTCCGCTGCCGATCGTGAGGCTTGGCTGGCAGATTGTGAACCCTTTGCTGATCGAGACATTCTAGCTGATCTCGAAGACAGGTGTGTTACTTCGAGGATCTTGGGGAAAAGTTTCCTCCAGACCTGACGTGTGCTCGGAAGGCAAGACACGAAGATGCCAACACATAGCTCGATGTTGGACCAGAGAGAGCTCTGAAATGAGTCGGCTACGGTTGCTGTCAGTTCTGTGCATAGCTGATGGTGAGTCTCTTGATTCGGACTTGCCTGTGACGTTGTATGATGTCGCAAAGATGAGAAGGGCCTTGATTCGATAGGCACTAACGGCAGTGAGACTTTGAACTCTCAGTCAGCAACATTCTCGCATGTCAGTTTCGTCGTACTCACAATACTCCTACGCTGAACATCAACATCACACCCAGCTTCTGTTTGCGCTGCATCCTCAGCGAATAGACTTGAGTTGCAGGAAGTACAAGCATCCAGGCATCCAGAGCCACGTTCAATGCGCCATGGCACATGGCAAAGGCGTTCAAGTTGAAGCATTTGCCCTCCATATCTCTTTTCCATCCATGCCAGAAGAAGTGCAAGGGCTGACAAGAGCCGAAGGTACCGGCGATGAAAGCGATCCAAAGAAGAAGGTTGAACAGCTGAGTACACCAAAGTATTCGGCGGAAGGTTTCGTCGGGGAAGATTCGAAGGTATAGAAATATGATCGAGGCCTTGATAAAGGCTAGACAGGTCATATATAGCATACCGAATATGATAAATAGCTAGTCACAGTCAGTTTTTCTCCTTGAGGTAATCAGGCAGAGATGCATTGATGATGCGGCCTTACCAAAAGAAAATCAGTAATTTGGTCTTCTGATAGTGCCCATATATCTCTCCCTGCACCAGTCTGTTCGGCTATACGAAGACGTTAAAGGAGACATTTCAATAGTCGGAATCCGAGCTTTACCTAGATATGCTGCTGGCAGGAAAGCTGCTAGTACGGCCTTTGCGATTGTCAGGGAAACTCGTCGAGGGCATGAGAGAGGGTGGATTTATGAATAACATACATAGGCGATGACGATGGTTGTGTCGTCCCAACCCCAAGGCGACAGCTTTAAAAACTTGTTCACCATTCGCACGATGATGAAAAAGGTTGGTAGGGCAAATAGAACCGCCCTGAACCACGCCATGACGGTATCTTGCTGAGTAGGGGCAACACCACAGGCAGCCAATGACGAATTGCGTGCCGCTGTAGATATTCGATGAGCCTTAACATCTTCACTAAGGGAACCTGGCTCTGTGACCTACCGAGCATCTCCATGACAGTGCAATTTGCCTCGACACATACCTGCACGTATCCCGCCAAAACGTTATCGTTACACATGCATTTTTGATCCGTTAAGGGGCAGGACGAATGGCCGATCTCCTGGAAGATACATTTGATCTGTATCTGTCAGCACGTTCCATGGGTAAGGGATATCGGTGGGAAATAGGCTTACAGCGCAGCTGGGGATGCCCTGATACGAGATATCTGACGCGGCAACGAAACTTCCAAGGCCCAGAAAGCAAGCGAGCAGGAAGAATAGACGGATAGCAGACATCGTAAAGGGAGCGACTTTGGATGGACGATGATGATGTCCTGCAAGCCTCTCGTGCCCAAGCAGGGTTGTCCGCGAATTGTCGTCGGAATCTGAAGCCGCAGAGGTTGCTCAGATACTCAAAACTTTGACGAGGGGTCCAGGAAAGCGGTCTTGGCGATGGTGTTGACAAACGTGGGGATATGAGGGGAGAGAAAGGTAGCATGGACGAACCGTAGTGTAGACGTCTTACCACGGGAAGTTGGCCCTACGGCTGTCATTCCGCCTTTCTAGCAAAGACACTAAACTAGTTCTTAGCTAGGCAGTTCCCAAGGGCTCCCACCTCGAGGAAGTGGCTGCCCTCCTCTTGGGACATCAGAGCGTTGCACCAGCTCCCTGCAGCCGGCAGGCACGGCAGGCAATGAAGGGTCTCCCGGGCAGTGGTACGCGATACGCTAGACCTCGCGTTTTCGGGAGGTGTGTCGACAGTGTCACAACTAGTTTACTCGGTAAATGCGCGTCAGTTCATATTGGTTTGTCTCTTTCACTAGCAGATGCCAGAGAGGGCGCCGCGGCTGAGACCATCGTGAGCCTGGCAAGGATATCACAGCTCGAGATTGGATGGTCGTGCTCAATGGATGCCGCTAGGGGAAGCCAAGGCTGCTTCCTAGGGCATAGAGCTCGGACGCTCTGGATGGGAGATCGGCGTGGCTAGCATGCAGCCAAAGGTGAGCTAGGCCTTGGCTGTGCAGGTTCTCAGGGGCAACTTGACGTTTGCGTCAAGCTGGGAATGTCTGCTCACTTGAGGAATGCCGTTCGCGGTCTTGGTCTAACTTGGCATGTGAATAAAGATGCATTAGGGACTTGATGTTGGTTGGATCAATGTTGTCAGACTGGCAATACTTCGGCGGTTCATTGGATGGCTCGGATGACAATCGCAGGATTGGGCATAACTTTGGATCTCAAAATCCCACGATGTCACACGAGCTGATCCCGCGATGTGACATCTTGTGGTCCGTGTACGACCATGGTCCGGTGTGAAATGTGCAGAATACCAATAGAGAACTAAATGTCTTACTGCCTGAGCTAAAAACCCCAGGATTCTGGGACAGTTTGATCGTTCCGTTCCACATTCCTGTACGACCTGACCAAGACCTGAGGAAGCGTTGTAAAATGCAACTTTTCTTCATGTTGCCGTTAATCAGTCTCGCCGGTACCTTTTGGCAATGAGAAGACATGCAAATAAATCGATCCAAAGTCAATGAACACATGGCGTGGCTTATCTAGACAATTAGACCAGCCAGTGACTTTCCGTTTCTGGTTCAGCATCCGAGAAAACACTTAGGCGAGGCAGCCACGCAGCTCCAGATTCCCGGGTTTTCCTGAGCAAGACAAAATCATCATCCCTCCTTAGCCGGCGAACTAGAATCCCCACAAGGCCACAGGATCAACAAAGGACTTTTCGTGGGCTACCACTTCGCTTCCACGCATCATTGATACTACAGCGTCCAGGCTCGTTTCCTTTGTTCCACCGACGTAACAAGCGTCAACGTCGCTTAGAAATCGAGCCCCAGAGAGGCGAATAATTCAAGCGGGCAGTCCCCTCCGAAGTGCAACTCGAACTATGACCAAACCCTTGACCGTTTCTTCTGTGGTTGAGTGGACTTTTTGTATGTATTTACCACGCGGACTGTTTACATCCATTCGGGGCAAGGTCCGAGAAGCCAACAGTGAGGTGACCACTAACCCGGAGAGGCAAGCTCGAAGTGTCGAGAGCCTTTCATTAATCTGTGGAGCCACCCATCTATTTTCGATCATGATGAGAAATGGACTTGACCCGAACAATGGGTGTAAATCAGCCTAGTGGTATTAGTCGACTTCTCTCCTACCGTCCACGGTCCGGCCATTGAAGGGACCTATGTCCAACCCGAAAGTGGGTCTATCGGGGCCGACGTCTCGGGAGACTGCGAGTTGGATGAAGCGAGCCGTCGGATGTGGTCTCTTCAACGGCTGCCCTATATCAGCCTGAACTTACTGGTCGGAACTTTAGAGCTCAAGTTGATCTAAATTTCTCAGTCATATAAATTTAGACTTGACATCTAATCTGGATCCTCGGCCCTTCAGGACTGAGGAGATGCAAGTTATGAGTAACCTGAATGGCGCATCAGCCTTGGTGAACCCTTGAGTATGGAATCCATGATCAAATAATCATCTTCCGGTTGTGGTCTATACAGGCATGCTCATTTTGTATCCGTTCGCTCGAAGCTTGCCAGAGCTGCTCTTCCGTCGCCCAGCACATGAAAGCATTCATTCAATCTGACGGGAAAACGTCTACTGCTATCACACGCCGAGACTATTTTGACCCTCAACGCCACCTATGATGACACCGAAATCTTGGAACGCGGATACTGCGTGTTTCCCGGCCGATGTGGGAGCCGATACAGCTCTATTGCTGTCTGCTGTGGCCTGCAAAGCCTCACTGAGATGGGATTTCCTCCTCGGTGGCCGCGCACTGCGAGGTGGTCACGACAATCGCCCGGCCCCTTCAACTTGCAGCAAACCGACCACCTGTTTGACCTGATGACACTGAGATCGGCGGGGTTACTGGGAGAATCGGCCGGACTGGCGCAAGATGCGCCCCAATGATTATTGGATGTTGTCGACCTGACAACAGAAGACTCAGTAAACCTGCCCACAGACGGTTATATAAGGTTCCAGAAAGAAGCTGTAGATCGAAGGAAATTAGCTCTTTCGGTCTTGCATCAATGACTTTCAATGAAAGATGTCGGAAGCACTGTTTACCGATTACGAAGGCCGGACCTTCAGCCGCTCCATCTTATTTCTGACAATCTACGCCTACGTTTCCCTGGGCTTATTACTGCTCGTCGCACAGCGAATTGCCAGGCCAGGAAGATTCACCAAGATACCCTCTCGTCAACCAGTAAGATCGGCCAGGTCCGACAGAAGTCTGGGCGAAAATGCCCTTCTTGCGTCCAAAGCTTCATCCTCGCAACGAAGAGCCCCGTGTAAGTCGTCAACGCCTTCGTTGTCGCCTCGTGACTAACGAATTGTGTCTTTTGAGCTAACCTTCCGCGATGCCACACACAGTTGGTAAACAGTTATAGAGTGACTTCGGACATTGGGCAAGCTGTTCTACTCGGTCCTGAAGACGCCGAACTGGAAAGTCACCAGAACCACTGGTCTATGCAACGTGACGAGGCGATCTCCCATCTTCGTGAGGGAAGAGCCTTGTGCTCAGACCGAGAGACTCTCAATATTCACGATGTGCGCATCGCTGCCGACGACTCCGGAAGCACATCATCGATGGACAGGATATCGATCACACCGTGCCGCCGCCTCCTTACATGCATCACCAAAGCAGAGTAGCCGAAAGAATCGATCAGACCGGCCTCGAGATGTCTCCAAACGCCGCAACTATTATGTTCCAGCGCATCATGGCTGACAGACACGATCCTGTGGACCCATCTCGACAAATATCTGGAGCAAGAGGCAACCCGGCCGGTCACGATTAGAACACGAGGGTTGAACATTGCTGGAACATGTTCTACAAGTTTCTCCGCTGTTAGCAAGATCGAGATCCTGCTACCTTGTGCTCAAGGTTGAGAATGAGCCGAGCAAATAGGTTGGGTGGAGGACGCGGGCTACGGGTCACAGGCGTCTGGCTCGTTCTGATGTCGGATCCCACGGTGAAGGTCACAATGGCATGAGAACATCATTGCTTACACCAGTATTCGAGAATGTGCGTTTATGTTGCCGTAAATCATTACTTTGCCGTGATTCAATCTCGGTCCAATCCTTGTGACCAGGCATAAAAGTCTAACTTCTCCAACGCCAAGTCAGCTCAGGGCCTTTCAAACTTTGGGGCGGTTGAGGCTTACAAAAGTTTGAAACGAACAATAACAATGGCAGACAAGCAAGTATGTAGCGACAAGGCAACGCAATCATCACTTTCAAACAGGTAAAGACTACAAAAGAAAATGTTCCCAAGTGGATTTTAACCACTACATCTCCCCGAGGTGGGCTCGAACCACCAACCTCCAGATTAACAGTCTGACGCGCTAGCCAATTGTGCCATCGGGGATTAGCTCGAATTGAGCTGTTGGGTTGTTGTTGCGGAGGAAGGCGAGCTCAGTGACTAAGTTGGTCTTGTATGTAGCCGGCTTGTTGTGCGTTGTTTCAAGCCCTAGAGGGCGGGTCTGAGATGCGCGGGTCTTCGAAGAATTGGTGTCATGCTGGTCATGGTGCGAATGGGTCGGAAATGGTGATTGGTGGTGACTCAATTTGTTGACCCACGTGGTGTATGAGACGCAGGTGCATGGTGGCTCGGGCGGGCTCGATTTGGGGAATAGATCCGACTTTGTGTTCTAAGAGCATGGTCGGATTGTCAAAGAGATGTATTCGAAAAGAGTATGAGTAACATGGCCGCAATATTCGGTATTTTCAACTGTCGGAGATCGACTTGCTGAGGGGCATGGAATAGACAAACGAGGTATGGTTTCCCAAACATTCATCTTGTCTTTTGTTCTAAGTTGCAGTGTGGTCAGCCAATGCTGACTCTTCCTTGGGAAAAGTTTATTGATTTACTTTACAAGGTGTCATGCCTCACAGTGAGCTTCATGGGATCATGAAGAACACATTATTGCTGTCTGTAATAGATAGACTTTTATAGTCCAGAAATTTTCTAAGGAAGTGAGATTATAACCGCTCAGACGTCAATGGCCTTGCGACAATCTGGCTTGTCAATCAAAGGCAAAAAACGCTTGTGAGCTTCAGGCGCACTTGAGGCATGTAAGCCACACCAAAACACCCGTCTCAACATCGCAACCATACCAAGAGGCAGTCCCTATGATGTAAAATTCAAAACCAAACACGCAATCTCCACATCTTACAAGTAGTCACTTGACTGTAAAGGCCGCGAGCGTCTACCCGATGCTCTCAGTGGACCAAAGCCCCCCATTTTCACGCAAACCACCACCACCCTTGTCTCCAAGGTGGGGCCACTCTCACGATACCCTTCCTCTAGGGCTTCAAGCCCAGTGGTATTCAACAAATCAGCTGGTCGGTTAGCTCAGTTGGTTAGAGCGTGGTACTAATATTTCATCAGAGATATTGAGTAATGCCAAGGCCGGGAGTTCAAGCCTCCCACTGATCATTCCCTTTTGTTCCTGACGACGAGAGCCTTGGAAGATGCTATTTTTATGTGACTGGTGACTGACTATCCACTTGTTTCCATCGTATGCGGGTGTATATGTATCGCCAGTGGTTGCGCAACCTTGGCGGACAGATGTGACTAAGGAGATGACATGGGTCAGAAGTTGACTCACGCGAAGGAGTCAGAGACCGAGCCGTGGCTGGAGGCGAATAGACAGATAGACATGAGCTTGGCTTTGTTCCCAGATTGAACCGCCCGAGGGCTGTGACTAGCACATCCGGGAGATGCTGGAGAAGTGAGAAGAGAGGGCCGCCGGGCTTAAGACAGGTGCCAGATCTTGATAGGCATAAAGACAGGAGGTCGGATTGAAACGTATAGGTAATGGTTTTGGCCGACGCATGCTCTAGTTCACCTGTGTGAAGTGGGATGTGCGCAAAGAAGGTCGTGGTATAAGAGGACACTTTACGACTCATTCCGAATGAGTATGAGGCAGAAGAGCGAAGCTGAGGAAGGTGGCCCGCGAGTTCTCAAAGAGCGTAGAACACCAAATAGACACGACTGGCATCGAGGGGCATAATGGACACGTAGGGATGTTGTTGAATGTCATCGTTGGAGGACCATCATACCCTTGCGTGGTGGACATAACCGTTCCCAGCCATACCATAGAGTGCAACGAAAGGAGGATTAGAAGGAAGTGAAATTAAAAAGAAACACGGCACACGCATAGCTCGAGCCCAGAACGCCGTGTCATGAAGTTTCAATGTTTCATTTGCCTGCCTGACCCTTTACAAACCAAGCCAAGCAGCGATACCGCGAGGCATGCCATGCAATGTGCATCGACCCGGAAATCGAATGCTTTCTCTGGTCGTCCGTCCCTTTTCGAAAGTCTTTGTTTCCTTTAAAAGACGAACGAGAAAGGGTGAGGAACGGAACCAGATCCTTTTGATCCACGTTTGACTCCCCCGTAAAACAGTAACTGCCAAATTTTTCGCGGGAAACACCAAAAGCTGACCGGACCCGGGAAACCACGACAGTTTCCTTCCCAAGGTTTTTTGTTGACTGCCGCATAAATTCCCCCAATTTCCCCAGGCTGTTCCACACCTTCTCTCAGAAAACAGAAAAAGTACCGTTTAACGGTAAGACTTCTGGAATCTGGAGCGGGCACCCTTACCACCGAACTTCTTGGGCTCGCACCGGCGGTTGTCGGCGACGAGGAGGGTACGGTCGAACTGGACGAGGGCCTGCTTGAGCATGTTCTTGGAGTGCTCGTCGACGAACTTCTGGTAGTAGGCGACGACAGACTTGGCAATGGCCTGACGGATGGCGTAGATCTGGGAAGTGTGACCACCACCGGTGACGCGGACGCGGATGTCGATGTTGGCGAACTTGTCGAGGCCAAGGACGAGGAGAGGCTCGTAGACCTGTGGTGCGGGAGACGGGTTAGTTTCTTTCTCGTTCGGGCTCATGAGAGTTCGATATGCGGGTTTCTCGCATAGACCCTGGTCGCTTGTCTTGCTCGAACCGATTTCGCGAATTGGCAAGCAAAGGGTAAGCGCTACGTTGCGCACAACTCCTTGGGTCCGTGGACAGAGCGTAGCATCGTAGCGCTCGCCCCATGCATCCCTTCCCTCAATGCCATGGGTTCCATTCCAGATTCCCATCTCTTGCCGACCAAGTCTTCAACGGAGTTTCGCGCGGGATGAAAATTCGTACCTTGAAGCGGAGGATCTCAGGCTGGACAAGCGAGAGGGGCTTGCCGTTGACCTTGACGAGGCCCTTGCCAGCCTAATCGCAAAATACAGTCAGCCTTCCATATTTTCCAAGTATCCTAAACATCGTCGCCTCTCCTTCGCCAAATCTTGAATCGGAGCTCTCTCTTTCTTCGGGGAGGAATTTATCGGTATCGTACCTTGCACTGGGCAACGGCGGTGGCGGTTCTCTTCTTGCCGAAGCACTGGACGGTCTGGGTGGACGACATGGTTGCTGCGGGATGGAGGGGGGACTGTGAGGAAATTCGCAACGCGATCGTGAGGCAGGCGTCTATGGTGCTTTGGGAGACAGACTCAGACCGAAATTTTGCGAGTTGGATTTCAGTAAGGGTTGTGCCCTTTCTGCTGGGGGTTTGGGCCCGTTTAGTGGCTGGTGCGGCCGGTGATTCTCCGGGTGGGGAGGGTGAAGCACGTGATGTGGAATCGATCCTTCATTGTGGAAAGTCGCTTAGTGGGCCCCCCATGGCACAGCCGAGTCCGCGGGCAGCTTTGGGATAAAAACGGATTAGTGGAGAATCTCTGGTCATCTCTCAAAGATTATGTCATCTTTCGAGGTTGAGAGCGGAGTGTCCGCCGGGAAACCGCATGTCACTCATCGGCTTCGATAACCTTCCGATACGGGCATCCACCAAGACCACCGAACGCCCCTCTATTCGTAACCTCCACCTTCTTCCGCGACTACAGTGACATATCCCCGGCCGAATGTCATCCTCCATCACCCTCCTACACACACGGTCATTCTACACACTCGATCCGATTCGACAAACGAACACCGCAAAGAATGTCGCGCAAGGGCGTCGGCCTCGCGGCCTTCGACCGCTCCCGCATCACGTCGGCGCAATACGCATCCCACGGCTCCAACCTCCGCACCACCAACTCCCAAGCCCTCGAGACCCAGCTCTCCGTCTTCCGCTCCCTCCTCCAACAATTCGCGCAGACCCACGCAAAAGACATCCGCTCAAATCCGTCCTTCCGCGCCCAGTTCGCCCGCATGTGTTCCGCCATCGGCGTCGACCCGCTCGCGTCCTCTTCATCGTCCTCGGGCGGGGTGGGTCGTCGTCAATATGGGCGCAGCTGCTCGGCCGCTCGGTCAACGACTTCTACTTTGAGCTGGCGGTGCGCGTTGTGGAGGTCTGCAGCGCGACGCGCGACGAGAACGGCGGGTTGATCGGCGTACGCGAGGTTCGGGAGCGCATCATGAAGGGTCGCATGGAGGGCGCGAGCGAGGTGACGGAGGACGATGTGCTGAGAGCCGTTGGTACCTTGAAGCCGTTGGGTAGCTCGCATAGTGTCATCAAGGTCGGAAGCAAGTCGTACATCCGGAGTGTACCCAAGGAGCTCAACACGGATCAGAGCGCGGTGTTGGAGGCCGTGCAAGTGCTGGGATATGTGAGCATCTCGATGCTAATGGTTAATCTTCGATGGCCGAGGGCACGAGCCCAGACTGCCTTGGAGGATCTTCTTGGCGAGGGTATGTTGTGGGTGGACAGGCAGTGTCCCGAATGGGAGTACTGGAGCCCTGGCTTCATGGTCGACACTGGCGAGGCGACGGCAGGGGAGTGAAGAAGGCGATCAACCGGCAAAGCAACACAGAAACCTACAGAAAATGACTCATTCCGTCCGGTATCAGCAACGCAGGTGGTGCCCGCCACCTACCGAGGTAGAAAGCACAAAAACAGAGTTCGCCACCGGTGTGGCTACGTCTCTTGGTGCTCATGCTGGGATTCGAACTCGGGTACTCGCTAAGCCTGTCGTCGAGTAGGCTGGTTGGCGTATGATTGAATGTTGACCTCAAACCACTCCACCACCCAGCCAGTTTGACCTGACCCGTCGACCTAGACGGGCGCCTCCTGGCTGGTGACGGGAATGGAATTGACGGGACCTATAGGGGCTTCTGTTGTGGCGTCGAGGTATCGGATGAAATCGTACCTCAGGTTGATCCCCAGCAGGAATACGTCTCGAATACGCAGGTCGGTCATGGGCAATCGTATTCAGAGTCCCTTACAGAGTAAGAGAATCCATCACGAGAACATGATACAGTATCAACAAGTATCATGCAGCATATAGATCTAGGAACATGGGCCTCGGGCAGGAATACCAAGCATACTGAACTTAAAATCCAAGCGCATTTGAACCTATCTACCGACACATGGGACATATAACATGATAGCAACATTTGAAGCAAGCAAATTGTACAGGGATATTCGGCGGTCGTTTGCGGTCCATCCAAGCCGCTTGCTCCCAGCTCGCGTATCTTCACACTGCCTCCACGCCCCTCAACTCCAGAAATCCGCCCCAAAGGACTGATATCGTTTTCGTATTAGATGTTACCAGATTTCTCATCAACTGGGCGTTATTTTGCTGTCATCTCTCAACCATCTCACCATAGAAGAGTCGTTTAGTAAGGGGGGTTAGGACCTCCCATCGGGCCGGGGTAGTCCTTGGGGCCGGGGTAGTCCTCAGGGCGGCCTCCCATGGAGGGAGAGCGGCCGTCACCGAAGTGCTTCTTGCGCAGGGCAGCGAGACGCTTCTTCTTGGTGATGGTGTTGATGTAGGTGCCGATGATGAAAGACACCAGGTTGAAGAAGGGCACCCAGAGTTGATCAGGGAGGAACTTCTGAGCAAAGGCCAAGCAGAGCGGGGAAGTGACCCAGCTGACCTTCATGACCTTCCAGAAGCCAACCTTGACGGTCGCGCGGACCTGGTGGTACGTCTTGGCACCGGCAATGAGGGCCATCGCGGTGAGGTAGATGGAGTTTTGGATGGGCGCAATCTGCGGATTATGGGTCAGCACGCACACCAGAGACGGCTCTCGCTAAGTCATGCCACTCACAATCAAGTTGCTGACAATAATCTGCAGGATCTTGGCGCGCAAGCTGGTGCGGCCAGCAAAGGTCTTCTGCAGGGCCCAGATGAGGAAGTGGCCGAGGGGCGCGCTGACAAGCGCGCCGTAGGCAGCCATCTTGGGTACACGCGAGGTGAAGTAGTTGCCATGCTTGTTGCGATCCTTGGCAAGGAAGGATGCGATCAGCTCCTGAGCACCGGCGAGAGTACCGGCAGTGAGCATCTTCGTGCGCAGAGGGTTCTGCTCGAGCTGCTTGATGTAGGCCTGGATTGCACAGCGTCAGCATTTCCGCCTGGTATATCCATATTCCCGACCATGGTGCAGCGAGCGAGTGATTCTATCGTGTCGCCCGTACATGACGGAATGGAGTGGAGGTATTGGAGGACGAACCGCAAGATAGCCCTTGGATCCCGCATTTTTCTTACCGCCGGTGATGGCGGTGCCGATGGCCTCGGAGATGGGGTGCTTGCCGCTGGTACCGGGCAGAGGTTCACCGATGAGGCCCTTCTTGACCTCCTCGACACCCTTCTTTATCGTGTCCTTCTCGAACTTGACCGACATGGTGGGCTAAAGCTTCCGGGGTATCGCTAACGTAATCGAGAAAATCGCGGGGGAAACTGCGGTGAAGGGAGGAGTATCAGCTTGGGAGGCCCGTCTTTGAGGGTGTTTGCGATGGATTTTCCGGGGGGTGTTCGTCAATTGAATTGCGGCTCCAGAGTGGGAGGGAGTGGCAGCGCCGGGGGCCAATGATTTGTTTACCGCGTCGCTCTGCCGACCGACCCAGGTGCGATTGGTTGATAGCGCGCGACTGGAGCTTGGCTCACTGGAGACCCTCAATTTACAATTGACACGAACAAGTCGGGAGGAGGTGAAGAAATGAGGGCAACATACCAACTTTACTTCGAGATCGCAGGACGTGAAGAGAGCGTCTGAGCCGTCGTTAGGAGGGGAGGTTGGGCGGCAGCGATAGAGAGAGAGAGAGAGAGCGACGGAGTGGGTTGTTGATGTGTGTGGTCGAGGAGGTTGACACAGCTGGGGCCTTGGGGGCGTACGGATACGACCTGGGCACGGCAGACTTCCACTAGAGGCAGACAAGCACGACAAAGACAGGCCTCGGGCTGGGGGGGAAATTGACTGAATTGATGGGGGTGGTGCCGACGCTGGACCAGAGCTTCGCTGCTGCGAAATGCTCATTCGTCCTCCTCCGCGCAACACAACCGGGATGTTGCATGACGGGCTAGAGCTGGACGGAGCTGCAGGGGTGTATTCAGAAAGGACGTCTCATTGGCTGCTCTCTACCAATGGCCCGAGGTCTGTTTTTTTTCCACCTTGGTCCATGAGTCTTGAGAGGAGGGGGATGGACGGCAGCGGCCCAGAGAATGACGGGCGGCACCGAATAGACAGATGCACGTCGCACGCCAGCTCATCCCTCTCATGCACTCACGCACTTTACGCTATTACCTTATCCCAACCGAGTGGGAGGAAGTCCAACTCTGTTTGTTTGTCTGCACCTGCCGACCATCTTACCGCAATGCCGGGTTGACCCCTTCCAGTCGTCCCCTCACTTCAGCTAGTTTAATGACGAAGCCTCATGCTCTGCCCTCCCAGCTCGTCCGAAAGTCATCCGAACGATTTTTCTTCTAATCCCGATGCCACGCTTTGCATCTCAAAATCTGGATAGAGTGTGTTTACAGCATCCGGTACATAGGTTTCGTCAAACATCCTCGGTCTGTGCCGGTATTATCAGATGAGCCATGTCAAGCTGTGTCTTTTCCATCACGCTTTACCTCCAAGGCCCTGCTTACCTCGATTAAAGACGGACCTTGGGCATATAGACGTAGAGACCGTTTCAAGACTGTCTACTGAATCTAGGTTGTACAACCATAAACGGTCCTCGCTCACTTGTGCTCATGATCGACATGGAATCGGCATGGTCATAAGTACGCACCAACGCATCCATTGACTAAAAAGTACAGTGAAGATGCCGATCAACTATTTCAATCATAGGTCTGATCACCGCGTACTCATTTAGTCGACGTGTGTGTCGCACCTTCATCCTCAACCACGTGCCAGATAGTCGGCGTTAAACTCACGATGCCATGGCCGGCATACGGATCAGCATTGATTTCAAACTTGATCTTGACGTTTTTCATCTTGCAAGTTGTGAGAGGCATCAAACAGAAAATTGACTCGTTCAAAACGAAAATATGTGGCGCTTAGTGACCGTTGTTCAATTTGATGTCTTTGTCATCAAGACACAGGACAATTAAACATGTTCCATCTTATATAAGAACAGCTTTGACAAAGCTCATTGAATAACCGAACTACGATGTAGAGGAGTATGTAATGAGGCAAGACAACACGATCGTCTCACAACTCAAGATAGACATGGGCTTCATGAAAATCAGGGCCTCAGAAACACAATTCCCTAGACACGACCTTAAGCACTTTTAGCAATGAAGCAGTAGAACTTCGAGTAGAGTGTCTGCCTTGCCTTGCATATACCTCGTCGAACACTCATGATTACATTTTCATTGGCTCTTCTTTTATTTCATGCATCTCATGGTGAAGTTCGGGATGAAAGGTACATAATTCGGGTGCTCCTTCCCACCATGACCAGCAGCCGTACCTTCCTCTTATGTGCAATCACTCATATGGGCTCTCTCTCTCTCGGCCTCAGCATACAGTGCAGAGCCAAGTTCACCTCCTACGACACCTTACTCCATGACCACCGCACCTAGGAGTATCTTCTAAACACCCATCCTCATCATCGGGCGGCTATCTCCTCAAGAACCGTGTGCGGCGACTTGGGCTGTCCGATATCAATATGGCACCCCAACCCACACACCGCCTGACGCGTCCCTACGGCGCTTGCACACACGTCACAATGGTTCGAGTGTACAGCTACATCCTCAGATGCGATTCTTGCGGTAACTACGGGCACTTCGGATGGCTGTACCGGTGTAGCCAGGACCAGGAGGAAATCTTGCGCAACTGCATCTCCAATGGCGAAGAGGTTAGCTTATGCAGCATCGCAATACGGATATAGTACTGATATTCCAGGTTACCTTTGACGATATCGGTAGGCATCTGGTTGCTGCCGTTCAGCCAAGGAACCGCGGTCCGGAGAAACGATCAGGGAATGCTGCCAGCTTTCTCGAGGAGATGCCCCCGAGGGATATCACGACCACCTACACGACCGACCAACTCATGACCATCTTCAACCAGCGGAAGCACGTACGTTGATCTAACGCAAAATACCCCATGCATATGCTGATGCGTTTACTATCATCTAGCTTGGAGACGTCCTTCGTCGAGAATCTTTCCGAGCGAAGCCGGCACCTAACCAAGGCCACGATGGCACGCATTCGTCCAGCACCTACGATTTGGACGACATTCTAGAGACCAACATGTCCGCTCCTTGGGTTCCCAAGTCCAAAGATGAGTGTCAGTACAAGATCTGCTCGTACTGTCGCCCCGGAGGAGCAGACCGAGCGTATATCAGTCTGGATGGTATCGCTAAGGGCAACATTCCCGCCACCGCTGCCACCGGCTACGGCTTCCACCTCTTTCGCGAGAGACCCGTATGCAACTCTCAATTGCTTGCCAACATTGGTCTTCGATCATCTTCAGCGGTGAGTAAACCTTCCATGCTGGTGGCGAGGACCATACGTTTCATCGTTTTATGGGTAATTCCTGATATGCTTTCTAGGTCTCAACCGGGTCCTCTGCATCATCATCGTCAGATACGGGCAAATACATCAGCGATGCTCAGCTAGCGAGCCACTTGGCAACGCAGCTCAATATACGTGGCTCCTCGTCACTCGACCCGCGACCAGTGACCCCTTACACTCTTCTTCTCCCACACGCCAATCTGCCCCGATCCCCAGGTACCCCGAACCTCGCCGCCGAAGTCGAGAAGCCTTCCGGACCTAATGAAGACGACTCTTCGTGGCTGGACACGACGGCTTCGACCACGAGTCTTCCGGCCGGTGTAAGTGGTCATCTTGGCGACGACGCCACAGAAATGGAGGAACAGGAGGAAGAGCAGGGGAGTTTCCTCGCACAGCCTCTCACTGTCCCGAACGGTGTGGCCGTCTTGGAAGAGAGCGTGGGGATGCATGAGCCGGACTTGATCACTCAGGTTTGAGAAGTCATCATTGTCAGAGGAGTAGTGGTGTTGGGACCAGTGGCGTTGGTTGATAAGGCGTTGGATTGCACAAAAAGAATTACCCTGGTTGCGAATAGGAATGGCCTACATTGTTCTCCGGTACGGCATATACCCCAAGAGAGAGGTGGGCAGTAGACAAGTGTAGGACAAGCGAAGCTTCCAAGGCTTTGTCAATCAATCAAAATCATCCATCATAACTATATTTCATGAACTCTGTCTCCATTCCCATCACACATACAAAACGTTCGTCATCAATCCTTGGTGCTCTCCAGCACAGCCTTCATCATGGCATTGCCCACAGCCACGGCATCCTTGAACCGAGGCTGGAAGAACTGCTGCGTCGTCTCGAACCGGTTCTTCCACGTCTCAAAGTGACCCAGCGAAACGCACTCGGCCCACCCTCTCGCCGCGAACGTGAACTCGAGATCGTCAGAGCGGTACGTGTGGTCCTCCACCGCCGTCCGCAGCGCGTCGTCGAGCAGCTCGCGGCTGCGGAAGAGGTGCTCCGCGACGCCGAGCCACAACCGGAACAGCGGCGTCGAGCAAATCATGTGGTCGTAGGGCACGATGCCCAGCTGCGCCCAGCAGTCCACCATGGCCAGCAGGCTGAGGTGGTTGTTTGCGCGCTGCGGCTCCGTCTGGTCCTCCTTTTTCCCGAGGGAGAAGCGCTCGAGAAGGTCCGGGTTCAGGAGGGGCCGGTCCGCCCACTTTGGGCTGCCGTCGTGGCCAAACACCTTTTCCTTCGCGGCGAGGACGCGGGCGCGGAGAGCCTCGGCGTTGCCTTCGAGCATGAGTTTGTACAGGTCCGTGACGGAGCGGGCGAACTGGGAGATTTGCTTGCGGGCCTCGGGGTTGAGGATCGCGAGGCCGGCGTAGACGTGCCACTTTTGGGAGTAGATGCGCAGCATGATGTTGATCTTGACATTCTCCACGCCGCCGACGTAGCGCGACATCTCCCAGGGGAACTGGGTGTTTGCGTGCCAGGCTTTGCCCATGGAGAGGAAGGCGGCGTGGGTGACGGCCTGGGTGTCGGCGGTGATGCGGTCGTGCTCGAGGGCTGTGAGGTGGACGTGCTTGGAGCCGAGTACGGAGAGGACGGTCTCGACTCTGGCGACGGCGGCGGCGGACGCGCGGTGGCCGATGATGACGAGGGGTTGGTTGCGCGGGTCGACGTTGGGGCCGTGGAGGGAGTGGCAGGAGACGATTTCGACGTCGGTTGGGAGGTGACGCTCAAAGGCTGTGATCTCGGGGGCCTTGCAGGAGGTTTGGCCGCCGACGATGGCGCCGAGCTTGGTCGCTGGAGGATCATGTTAGACGGTGATGCGCCTCTCGTGAGATGAAGGCAGGCTGGGGATCGTGGGCAGAGGTGGCATGGGGAACAGGGCAAAAGTCATACATGGACCATACTGAGCGATCACGCGGTCAATGGCGGCAGCTTCAACGCTGTAGATGATATAGTCGCTGGCGCGGGAGACGTAGTGGCCATTTCGGCAGATTTGTACATTGTTCTATCAAGAAACTGCTCAGCCGGGGTTGAACACCTAGGGGTTCCCACGCTAGATAGCGTGCGGCAGGGCTGGTCTGGTGGCATTCCCATACATTTCCAGAGAACTCTTCTTCCAGGCTCTCGTACTTTTCTTCCTGGTCACAAGCCATGATCCTGCCGACACCCGGGATGTCAGCTTTCTGTTTCCCTTTCGTGCTGTTCCTCCTCTTTTCTCTCCAACCCAACATAGGCTGTGCGGATGGTATAGCAATAATGGGGCATGAAGCTTTTGCAGATTCCTGAGAAGCTTTGTTAGCTTCGCTGTTCTCGAAGATGGGAGTCGTAGAAAAGAACAGAATGATCGTGAAGGTTCAGACAGGTAAAGTTTAAGGTAGCTAGGTGTATCATCATGGAAGGCCCTCAGCGGTACCCGGGGCCAGAATGGTTACCCGGGAATGCCTTGGGCGATACTCTAGCCAAATGCGCTCTTGTCATCATGACCAATGGGGGGGATGTGGTGGTGTTGAAGGAGGTTGTGAACAGAAGGGGAGAAGACGCTTACCAGAAGAATCGAATAGCGCAGAGGCCCAGCTGAGGAATGAACAATTACTCACTTCCATCCAGCGGCAGAAAGCCTCTGCGCGTACATCTTCCCCATGTCTCCCATACCAATCAGGCCAACCACGAAGTTTTCCATTCCAGCGGGGATGCCGGCGGCGGCCTGAGGTGAAGGGAGAGCTGAAAAAGATGCCATCGTGCCGTGTGCGGTGTGCGCTTTCTCTGTCAGGTTAGAAATTTTCTTCCAGGTGAATCTGAGCTTCTGTTGGAGAACTGCACAAGGTCTACTTGAAGTAAAACCTCTCACATCCTCACAAGCGAAAAGACTCTGTCGCAAGGTCGAGAGAATCGAGTCGCGACGCCGTCTGCAAACACTGTTTTGCGAGAGTGTTGTGATGCGAATGGTGGGAAGAAAAAAAAGTTGGCGGCTCAAGTTCCGCTTTTTGATCTTTGCAGCGCGGATCCATTGGCGGAGGCGCGGGAAAGATTGGCCGAAAGGCCCCTCCATGGAACTGCTTAGATGCATGGGAGAAACTGGTGGGGGACGAATCTGCTTATTGCGATATTTCGCGGGGGTCCCCCGAAGCTTACCAGCTACCTTCCCAAGCTTAGGAAGCTCCCCTCGATGAGAGAAAGGTCCCTCACCTGGCAGACCAAAAGAATCGAATCAAGCGAAACATTTGTCAAGATGTCCGTTCTCTTCGCCGTTGGATCAAATGGATCAGGCCAGCTCGGCATCGGCCACAAAGAAGATGTCTCCGTCCCCAAGCAAGCCATATTCTTCCCAGAGGACACTGAATCCCCAGTAGTCAAGATCGCAGCGGGCGGAAACCACACCCTTCTCCTCACAAAATCAGGACAACTCTGGTGGAGCGGGGACGCAACCAGCGGCGCATGCGGCCTTACCTCAGCAGCAGAGACCGACGAGTCCGTGTTCCAACAAGTCCAGCTCAGCAAGGATGAAGCAAACGCCGCCCCGGCCACCGCAGCAGGAACAACAACAGCATCGACAACTGTCCTGATCGCCGCAACGTGGGAGGGCTCCTTCGTCGTCCAGCAAGACGCCGAAGGAAAGAAGACCAAGCTCTTCAGCTTCGGCGCCGGACAAAAGGGCGAGCTGGGCCTCGGAGAGCTCCTCGTCCGTTCCCCGTCCGCCACCCTCTTCAAGGAATTCCCGCCGGCCGGGACCGAGATCGTGGATCTGGCGGCGTGTATGGGTCACGCCATGGCGGTCCTTAGCAACGGCGACGCCTACGCCTGGGGCAATGTGCGCAAGGGTCAAGGTGGGGCCCCAGAGGCGGTCGTCTACTCGCCGAGGAAGATCGAGGGCGTCGAGTTCAAGGTTGAAAGAGCCGTCTGCGGAAAGGACTTTACTTGCCTGTTTGGAGCTCCAGATTCAGGAAAGCTGCTCGTTCTCGGGTCTGATAAATGGAACATCAAGTCCTCTGCGCCCAGTTCCGTACCAGAGTGGACAGATGTGGGTGCCAGCTGGGGCAATGTCTATGTCCTGAAGAAGGACGGCGAGCTCATGGCATGGGGAAGAGACGATCACGGACAGCTCCCGCCGCCGAGCCTACCCAAGCTATCAAAGATTGCTATTGGCAGCGAACATGTCATTGCTTTCACAGAGACGGGCGATGTGCTCGCCTGGGGATGGGGAGAGCACGGCAACTGCGGCCCACAAGTCGAGAACAACGATGTTAAGGGACGGTGGAATGTCATCGCATCATCGAGATTTATTCCCCCTGGTTCTAAAATTGCGGGTATCGGCGCGGGCTGCGCGACTAGTTGGGTGACTATCATCACCAGTTGAGCAAATGGTGCAAACATGGTTCTGCCGGCTAGGGCTATTCGAATTCAGAACGGCAGCAACATCATCACCTTGCCATCCATCCAAATAAATCATGGGCCTTGGTAGAACAGACCTAGGCGCCTAACATCGTCAAGGCGCTGCGTGGGCTCCAATCCTGCGCTACTGGCTGGAGTCGGGTCGAATTCGGCATTCTCCTCAGCGACTTTGCGGTCAAGGTGCATGGAAGAAGCAGTCTGAAGAGACGTGCGTTAGGATCATGGTCCTAGGTAGATCGATCGGGCCAGGGAGACTTACGGGCTGATTACTATGATCCCACCCAAGTCTTGCATCCAAGTCTGGATCATCGTCCTCTTCATACCTGACGGGCTCCCACGCCTGTTCGTCTTGGTCGTCCACAAACAGGCTTTGAGAAGCCATGGTTGCGGGAGGCGGTCGCTGTGATGGCCGCAAATCGAACAGTGAAGTGCGCGCGGCGATTCCACTCCGTGATGCAGACGCCGACAGCGCTGGAGGCGGCATACTCTGCGCGGGTGGTTGCTCCTGGGGCTGTGGGGTCTCGGACGGCGCGGCACTCTGTCTTCTAGACGTGGCTTCGAGCTGCTGCTGCGGAGCCGCCTGTGCGCCCTTCGCCTTGCCCTTCTTCGTCTTCTGGGCCGGGTTGCCCTTCTCGCCGACTGTCATCAGCAGGAACTCGCAGCTTATGCCGTCGCCGGAGTAGGTAAACAGTATTGGGCGCGCCGGGTTAGAGTACCGAGCGGAGATGTGGTTGCCGGTGATGCCGGCATGCTGGATAATGGCCCGAAAGTCCTTGACGCTGATAACAATGCGAAGCTTATCTTCGACTTCTATATCTTCAAATTCGTCAACCTCGATGGCGATTGATGTGTGTAGTGGTTTCTTGAGGACCTCTACATCCGTTGTTAGCATTGATAGACACATTCAAAAAGGTTAGAAGCCAACCGTCTCCATTTGTCGTCTTCTCTGTGTAGCATGTGAAGTTGACATGTTCGCCATCTGAGTTGATGTCCAGAAGCTCGACTCCGGGGCCAAAATGTTCCATCAATTGCCTTAACGTCCGCGACGGGATGGTCCAATGATGGGTCGTTTCATCTCGGTCGAATTTGGCGTGCACTGGCACCGCAACCTCGAACGGCAGTCGATGTGTAGATGTGACACCTTCGTCACTGATCAGTTACTTCTGTATCGTGCTAATCCAAAATCAAGAAGCGTACCATTTCGGAAAACTAGCTTCACGATGAAGCGACTCTTGACACCTGGTCCGTCTTCAATAGCGACATCACAGCGATCGATCGTGCTCTCCTTTTCACGGTCACGCTGCGAATCGCCACCTGCGCGACTTCTGAAGATAGAGGCGAGTGACTGTATAACCATGAGACTCTGATGAGATTTATTCCAAAGCATGAAGGAGCATCATACCCTGATATAAAGAGTGCAGTAGAACTTGTCTCGATACTGCGCACTTCCCTCGAACTGGTAGCGGGAGCAGAAGCGATTGGTGGTGAATGTGAAGCATGAGTAGGCCGACTTGGATGCATTGAGTGCAGTGAGGACCAACTACATGCAATGTGGTCAATATCTAGATCTGTCATTTGCATTGCTTGGACGGTAGAGGACAGACCTTATCCTTCTTGGCTTCTAGGGAGACCTCATCGCTGAATTTGTTCAGGCAGGCAAGGACGTCGCGGAAGGCGGCGACGGCGTCCTCGCTGAGCGTGAAGTTGAGTACAGCCATTGTGGCACCGGAGAAGTCTAGATTGAGGTTATGATATCATTGAAGCTTGAGTCACGGATGTCAGGAAGTTCGATGTTAGTTCACTGCGTTAGGATTGCTTCAATGGGAGAGGGGCGGTCGTCATAGGCGAAGCGCGTCAGGGCGCGTAAAGTGGTGGTCGTGGGGTACTTCGGTACTGCGGGGCGACTCCAAGAACGTAACTTCCCCCAGAAGTTCGAACGCAGCAGGCGCGGTGTGACACTTCATAGCTCCTGCGCCTTGACTCAACCTCACCTCATAGTTCATCTCGGAATTTCCTGTGAACTCATGATTTATTCAACTACCAACTTGCTCCAGCTACAAGAATTACTTTGGTTGTGAGTTAGAGAAAGCTCCTCCAAGCAATCGGCAGACCCGTGCTATGCATCAAGCCTAGCCACGGCGCATACGGCCCCGAGCCTCTAAGAAGCTGCAGTCCCTCAGCCGGGCCCCTGGCATCGCCCCAAAGCTGTACAAACATGCGCTCCTCTTCAGCCTCGTAGTCATTGCCTCGCCAATGGCGTTCCCTTCCGAATACGGCCAGCCACTTTAACACATGCTTCAGAGTTGCCGTCGCCGGGTCGTTAGTGGAAGGTACTAGCTGGGCCGGGGCTCTCATTCCTCGGTACCAAGACCGCGGGTCTTGTGCAGGGAGACTCAGCCTGAAGCCGCCGGGGCGCTGATGGCAGTGCATGTAGCTGACCCAGTAAAGTATCTCGCGCGATGAGAACTTGGTGTGGCCCAGCACTGTCAAGCTGGTGAGGTGTTTGAAGCCTTCGAGAGCGCGAAGCGTCCAGGTCGAGTTCTCGCCTTTGCGGCAGACAAAGGATAACGTTTCGAGCCTCGGTACGCGTTTGGCAATGTGATCTAGCGCACTGCAGTCCAGGGTGGAGTAAGTGTGTAGTCGCAGATCCCGAAGACACGGCATGGCTGCCACTGCTTTCATGACGAGCTCGCCTCGTTCTTTCAACCTCGAAGTAGGGTTGACGAGGCCTTCTTCAGAGCACTCGGCTAAGAAGAGATACTCGAGCTGCTGCGTCTCGAGTGCTTCATAGAAGTCTTCGTAGCATCCCGTCGAGAAAATGTGCAACCTGCGTAGATGTAAGTGAGGAAGAGCATCAGCGACTGCGGGAACAAGGTCCGGAAAGCGGAAGAGATGGAGACTTCTAAGAGCCTTGCAAGATTTCAGCCAGTCTGTGACCTTACTGCGGCTCTCTTCTGCCCATCTTTTGAATCTCAATCGGATTTGAGGCGATGGCTGGTAGTTGAAGCTGAGGGTCAACGATTTCAAGTCAGTCAGCTCGAAGAGTCGATACAGCTCGAAAGGAGGGCGAACTATAAATTGCAAGGTCAGTTCCTGGAGACAAGTCTGCCGTACGATTGCCTTCAAAAGTGGCATCTGTGTCTGGTTGAGGGAGCAGTCGAACGAACGCAGCTGAGTCGGCGGCAGCTCCGAGACGAAGTCTGCAAAGGAAGCAATTTCAGAGTCATCAGCCTGTACCACTGATATCTTTGCCAACATTGGCAGATGCGTTGTGATCAATGCGGCTGCAGACTTATCTAAATCATCAAGAAAGACGAGAGAGAGACTTTCCAGCTTTCTAAATGTATGAATGACTGGCTGGACGTTCATCCACCAGTCTGCCGTCAAGCTCTTGAGCATAACGTGTAAGCCTTTCTCCGTAGACATGTTAGCCAGCTTTCGGAGGATGCGAGTGCCAAAGCATCCGATGCTCGGGGTTTCGGCAGTGACATGGTTCGCCGCGACAAGGCTTCGATCGGTCGTGGAGCCGGGGTCCTGCTGAGTAGCCTCACGGTTCACGGCAACGAATCGCTGGTCGGGGAAAGGTCTGCACCCGTGGACCGAGAGAAAGTTGAGGAGGTTTAGATGTCGTATAAATAGTAGGTATGGGTGGTATGTCGCAGGGAAGGCCTCGTTCACGTCTGGATGCTCCTCGCACACCAGCATTTCGGCAGACAGATTCGCCCAAAGGCTTTCCGTAGCCTCTCCTCCCCAGTACCGAGGAGGGCAAAACTGCGCACTGCTATGTGGTTAGTGAACCACTTTTTTATGGGGAGGATGAGCATGAGTCTTTGCTCACCTGTAGAGGTGTCGAGAAGCTAGCTCAGACAATTCCTTATTGAGACGAGTGCAATTTGCCAGAGTACCATGGTCTCCTCTCACAGCAAGCTGGTCGAGAATGATGTCCCAATTACCGATGTGGGGGAGTGGCTGGGAAGCAGCCGTTGCCATTGTCGGAATACTGGAATTTGTGTTCATGATGACGTGAAGAGGGTAGGTATTATCTTTAAAGTGATGATGGAATGCTCTGGGTAATGTGCTCTGAGTTGTTTCTTCTGTATGGTAGGGCCGAGCGTCCTTTTATATCTATAACCCATGGGACCTTGTGTAGTGAATCGGGGACGGTAAGTATGTGAAAGAATATCTCAACACAGAGAAGTGAATGATGAGATAGACGAGAACAAAATCTCCTTTGTCAGAACCGATAGAAATACTCGAATTGCAGTGAATTGATCAGACATTACCTTATTCTCAATTGCCAGATCAAGTCGTCATATGGCAATAGTCTATACAGAGGCCAGCCCGGCAACCAGCTATGCAGTAGAAAAGTAAGAAGTTGCAAGAGTGGTCCATAAGAAGATAGGCCCCTACACTTCGTCGGTAAAGGCCACCATACACGTAGGAGTTCAACAAAGAACCGTCTGATCTGTTCCCCAGCTTCGACTCGTATGCCTGCTTCAATTATGTGACGAGAAGAGTTTGTACTCTTTTACTGCATGCCTCTAAACCTCTGCTGGTCATCGGATTGTACGGCCAGCAGTCTGGTCGAGGCCATCCAGACTGAAACTTTGCAGTGGGAAATAGGCAGTGTTATCTGGCCCGCAGTGGCAATGGCCGAGCTTTCTTAAAGGAAACTCAAACAGCGCACTTCCCAGCTAAGTAGCAGGCCTCTCTATACGTTTTGACACTTTGAGGGTTAGGTGGTGAGAGGTATCAAAGAGAAGATTGGTATTGTGCTGACACGTGGGAACGAGGGGAACGTAATTACAGACGGAGATGGTGACGAATGCGTTATTTACCATGAGCCTAGTATTCCATCAACAACTAGAGGGCATCATTATGTCCTTCTCAGTCTTTTTCTAATTTCCATTATCCTCCAATTATTCGAAAGAGGATACAAGGGAAATAAGGTTAGAAAAACATATATCTTATGATTACCCCTTGTGAAAGTACGTTAGTATTATCTTAACACCATATAGCACTTCACGAGATATCACTGGAACGCTAATAAAGATGTAGCTTTTTGAGGGATGAAAAGGCGAGTGAGCTCGGAAGAAACTCGAGAAATTGGAGGCTTTACAATTAGTGTACTTGACAATTCGTAGTCACCGCGCTTTGTTACCGTATTCTTCCCAAGAGGGTTGTAACACAACAAAAAATCAAGTTGCAAATAGAAATCTGCCAGGTAGGTACTTCTCGTTCTCAGTGTGGAGAGTCGAACGGGTTGGAGTAACGGGCTTCCGGCCTCATCTACCGTATATCCTCGAGCCCTTCTAATGGAAAATCGAGATGAGCTATCCCAGCCTTTTAAGAAGGCATACAGCACACAACAGCAGACTGCGCTCGTGAATCTAGGTCGATACTCGACGCCCTCGAGACATGGTGAGAGAGATGATCGGAGACATCCGCAACAAGGTTTCATCGGGCCCGAAAGTTCAAAACACGAAAATGCCATGTGAATCAAACAAAAGCTCCTTTGCCTGTCCACCGAGATTTACGATCCAATGAGATTTGAACCATGACCAACGGCAGCTAGTTGACCCTAACCACGTTCGGGATCCCGAGCATGAGGAAGGGGGGGATATAAGTGATATGAGTGTGTGTCCCCCAACCTTTCCCCGCAGATGCTCGCCCACCTGATCGCGTCTAAGCCAACGACAAGCAGTCCAGCTGACAGCACGGGCGAGACCCTTGGAGAGGAGGTTAGTGTGAGGCTCAGCCCAGACCGCATCGCGGGACCAATCCCTTTGCCCGCAAAAAGTTATCCAATGTGTCTGTCCGACTTAAGGTAGGGCAAGGAAGGTCTAAGGTTCAGTGGGTGAGATGGCACCTGTGACCACGGGATGACAAGGCGGGCGTGATGTCACAGCACATGGCCGGAATGGTGGGGTCCCCTGGGGGAGGAGCCACCCAGCCACTCACATCTCTTCGAGTTACTCCAAACGATCCTCCAAAGCTCCAAATGAAACTCGTCGGGATTGGTAGGATTGGTAGGAGACGGTGAAGCCCTGCAACGAAGAATGAGACCGTGACCCATTTCCCGAATTGGACGAGGGTCAGACTGTCAGACACCACTGGAGTTACTCCCCAAGGTCATCGAGGTCGTCCAGGTTATCGACGGGTGTTATCTTGCTGCAGGGCACGGAACTTGGAAGCGATAGTGGAGGGGCTGCCTGTCCTGGTTTGGTTCCGTCATCTGAAAAGGATCCCAGCCCCCCGTCACTCACCTCAGGTACCTGACCTTATCAACCTGGACAAGAGTCAGCTTCCAAACCATCCCAGCTTCACCTGCGACAGGAACTGAAGCGACGCGAAATCCCTACCCTGCTTGCGTTTGCCACGCAATAGAGGACCTACACAGTAGAGTCGGTTGTCCAAGATGGTAAGCACAAAACAAAACCTTCCTCCAAACTCATTTCTATCAAACGAAAGATACCCCACCGTCGCAAAAACACCTTGGAGCTTAAATCGCAAACTACGAAGGCGCGGGCTCAAAAACCATGGCTAACACGGCAAACGCGCAGTCTTCCGAACGGACGCCCCTCATCAACGACCGCCGCGAAGGCGACGACAGCGACGACTCCTCCCGTACGCCCCCGGGCCCTTCGCGCCTCCGCGAAATCGTCCTCTTCGCCTGGGCCCTCCTCGCCACGGCAGCCCTCATCGTCCTCGCAGTATGGACCCAGCACAGGAGCTCGACAAAGTTCCCAAGGCCCACTGAGGGCAAGCGCAACCTCATCTTCATGGTCTCGGACGGCATGGGCCCGGCCTCGCTCTCCCTGACGCGCAGCTTCCGCCAGCACGTCGAGGGCCTTCCCGAAGACGATGTCCTCACCCTCGACAGGCACTTCTGGGGCTCCTCCCGCACCCGCTCCTCGAACTCCCTCGTCACCGACAGCGCCGCCGGCGCCACCGCCTTCTCGTGCGGCAAGAAGAGCTACAACGGCGCAATCTCCGTCCTCCCCGACTACGAGCCCTGCGGCACCGTCCTCGAGGCCGCCAAGCGCGCGGGCTTCATGACCGGCCTCGTCGTCACCACCGACATCACGGACGCCACTCCAGCCTGCTTCGCCAGCCACGTCCTTACCCGCGCCATGAACGACGACATCGCCCTCCAGGAGGTCGGTGACGGTCCCCTCGGCCGCGTCGTCGACATCATGCTCGGCGGCGGCCGCTGCCACTTCCTCCCCAACGGTACCGACGGCAGCTGCAGGCTCGACAACACCGACGTCGTCAAAAAGGCCCAGGATGAGTTCGGCTGGACCTACGCCGGCGACCGCGCGGGGTTTGACGCCCTCGAGGGCGGCGAAAAGGTCTCGTTCCCTCAGCTCGGCCTTTTTGCCCACTACGATATTCCCTTCGAGATTGACCGCCGCAACATGAGCGACGTCTACCCCAGCCTAAGCGAGATGGCCGCCACGGCCCTGCGCGCCCTCGAAAAGGCCACAGAGAACAGCGACAAGGGCTTCTTCCTCATGATCGAGGGCAGCAGGATCGACCACGCCGGCCACATCAACGACCCCGCCGCCCAGGTCCGGGAGGTTCTCGAGTACGACAAGGCTTTCAAGCTCGTCTCCGACTTTGTCAAGTACAGCAAGACCGAGTCCCTCTTGGTGGCCACCAGCGATCACGAGACCGGTGGCCTCGCTACTGCTCTGCGTAAGTATTTCCAACTCTTTTCCTCGCCCCCATAAACCGATTGGTTTGCAGCAAGCTAACTACGTGATGAACAGAGGAGCCCGGACACCTCCCCGTCTACAACTGGTACCCCAAGGCCCTCGCAAAGGCCTCTGCCTCCGCTGAACTGCTCTCCAAAAAGTTCCTGCAAAAGATCGCCTCCACCAGCGGCAAGACCATTAACAAGGAGGAGCTCAAGGAATGGGTCAACAAGGAGCTCGTCGTCCCCGGCCTCGGCATCGACAACGCTCACCCGGAGGAGCTTCAGGCCCTTGTCGACCGCCCCGAGGTCTCGGTCCAGACCTTCGCCGCCATGATCAGCCTCCGCGCCCACGTCGGCTGGAGCACCCATGGCCACACGGCGCTCGACGTCAACGTCTACAGCACGGGAGGCGACGAGGCCCAGAAGATCCGCGGCAACATTGAGAATACCGACGTTGGCAAGTTCCTCCGCGGCTACCTCAACGTCGACGTCGACGCCATCACCGAGGAGTTGAAGGAGAAGATGAACAAGAAGCAGCTCGGCGCCATGGACCTCCAGCAGCAGCAGATGGCGGCCCTGGCCGAGGACCCTAACACCTGGAGCCAAAGCCAGAGCTTGGAGTACGCCCACCTGTTGAAGGCAGGAGCTGCATAAGTTGAGGTTTCTTAGCATTGGGAGGTGGCAGACCAGAGTCATGAAGTAGAGTGGCAGGAAAGGGGGCATGTGGTACTACTGGAGTTAACGGATCAATTATTTTTTGAGCATAGGGGCTGATGTTCCCATTTGCTGGAACCTGACCTAGTCATAGCAACAAACGCGCAGCTATAGAGCAGTGTATACATATCACATCAATCGAGACATTGAAGTCAATTGTTTGCTCGGGGCGTGTGTCCCTCACCGCAACCCGCAAGCATGGGAATACCCATAAACGCCGTGAGCCCTGATCACGACATGGCTCAAACTCAACAGTGAATGCATGAGGGCACAACCACGTTCCGTGCAAGACTTGTCAACTCCGAAATTAAGAAATACCCTGCATCAAACCCTTCGGATGCATGACCCAGGGTCAAGTTCAGCCCTGTGAGGACGAGTGAACAAAGACTAATGGCCTGACTGCTACCGCCGCCCTCCGATCATTTGCGGCAGGTAGATTGCATGAGTGATGTTGTCTCGAACCTCTTGATTTCCCCCTCTCACCTGAGTTGTGTGCATGCAGCCACCAGAGTATGATTGGAGGGGCCGCCTTTTCGGCGGTTGGCCCGCTCGTTCTGGGACATCAAAGAGACTCTTACAGCTTTGCAGCTAGCCGCAAAACCCCGTAAGAAAATAAGAATTGCGCGGAGGCGGCCACATTCGCCTAAATATGAAGGTCTGGATATGTGATGTAATTCGTTGCTGGCGCAGCAAATGTATTGAACCATGCTTGGCCATCGGTAGCCCGATCTCATCAGCCTGGGCCAGCTGCTCTTGTCCATTTGACTTTACCCCTGCCATCAACCTGGGATGGCTTTATGTATGTTTGTTTGTCAATCGTACTAGCCGAATGCGAGATGCGAAGGTGGGTTGGGCCAAGGCCGTTACGCCGCTGGCTGCTGTTGGTGGAGAGGTGGGTAAGGGAGAGAAGAGAGAAGACCGTTAAGTTGTGGTGGGTTCCCGAACACCCTGCCCTGGGTACACGATCCATGATTACCATTGTTTCCGGATATTCGCTGCATTGGCAAAGCAAAGGCTAGAATTGAATGCTATAGCCTAGATGCAGAGCCTCTTTTCTTTGACCGTATGCTAGGTAGGCAAATGTCTGCCTGTGCGCGTGATGATGTGATGAAGTGTACTGCAGGTAAGCAGTAGCAGTGGAGCAAGAAAGTCTGAAGCTTCGGAAGGTGGCATCCTACATCGAGTCTCGATTTCAAAAGATATCGGAGTTTCCTCCCTGTTGCGGACGGAGTATTGCATTGAACGTCGCCTCGCCACGCAATTTGACTTCATCGGTGGTTGGCGATCTCAGCAGCTCCGCGTTCTTTGGCTGGCCTTACGGCCGTTGTTATCGACAATGGGCGGGGATCGACGTGTTGTCGAATCCTATCATTTGCAGCCAACCGATGCGACGACACCAAAGCCTGTCTGTGGTTCATCCAACCCAGCTGGCTTTCGAGGACAGTGGCGAATGGCTTGCAAACCCGTTGTCAAAATGGAACAAGAACACCCTTTCGTCAACAAGACCCTGCTTGCCAGAAAATCTCTTATTTGCAGCCCTGTCAGTTGTTCGAACAAGCTTGCAGAGTCCGAGATAACCCCTGTCGGCGAGAAGAGAATGCGGCATATGCCTAGACCGCGGTGCTGATAGCTGCCCCGATAGTTGCTGCAGTCGAAAGCGTTACGAACAATTAATTAGAGATCAGTGGCTGTCCTTGTGTGACCCAACCTCGTTCCTCCCTCACCCCGAGTCTATGGACGCACTATGCCCTGGGAGCAGGCATGGAAAGACTGGATAGGAACCCGTGTGGATCCGTATTAGCAGGTATCTTTAGACGACAAACAAAGCCGTTGGCGGCCGTTCCCCGAAGTGGAAATCCTTTCGTTGTGAAATATCATAGATGGACTGTGCGTCTTTACCGGTTTAGCTGAAGACTGGGAGGACATGTTCATGGGCCTTGGCGACAGGGTGCAATCTGAATGCAAGTAAGGCGGTATCGCCAAAGTTGTCAGGCAGTCACGGCTGTGTAGCATGTGAGATGCATGTGTCAGCAAGCGCCCCGATCGATTTCAATGAAAGAAAGTTCGGTGCTGGTGGTGCTGTACTGAACAAATCTGCATGCAGCATTTTCGGATGAACGTTAGCTAAGGTAGCCAACAGAAACATCGATCCCTGACTTGCCAAGGTAATGCGTCGAAGCATTTTGCGTCCAGAAGAAGCTCATCTCGAAGTCGAAGACTCGTAATATGTATGTTGGACCACCAAGAGCAATTTGGCCAGAGCAACGACATGGGGTCTTCTCGTCAGGAATCGTCAGGATCTGGGAGCAAGCCGAAGAGCGCGGGGAGCGGAGATTGATAGTGGGCGGAGAGCGATCCGCGGTCCGTCACTTCGTAATGCTGCCTCGAGGGCCAAGGGTTGTAAAACGCATCTGGTGGCGTTTTCTGCCGGCCGGCGCGCATGTCTTGATTAGGAACATTGTTTGCTTGCACCAAGAAAGGAAACCAACCGGAGCTTGTCATGGGTGTGTGTGGGATCTGGCCTCACAGTGTGTGAATTGCGGACGTGCGAAGTTGGATTCCGATGTGGGAGTTGATACTGTGTCCGCGGACTGGACTCCATTCCAGGGCGAGGCAGCTCGTGTAAGTCGTCGAGATGCAGGTTCGAGACCCTGGGAGGAAACTTGGCGGAAGACTGAACAGCGTACACATGATCGTCGAGGCAAGAAATGTCACTGAAGTCACTCTCGCGAGGTATTGACTAAAGGGCGGCGTCCGACAAGGTGCTCCTGTTACGTCATCCTTCGGCATTTCGCTTCTGCTACGACTTACGAGGAAGGCGGTCCCGAATGCAACGGAGAAAGAGCAATGATCACGAACTGGAACTTCACCATCCCGAATCATAATCCAACTGGAGTCGTGTGTGCAAGATAACGCTGAAATGCGATGATCCTATGAAACACCCAAAAGGGCAATGCTCACTATAGGTTTTGGACCTCATTGCCCGCCAAACGTGCCTGAACCGCAAAACAAAAAAGCCGCCCTCCCGTAAGTTCGCACAGTTTTCATGGGGAAAAGCACCCTCTCTCAGGGCCTTACTCCCAAACCTGAGACTAATGCCGCTCCCTCGCATAGAACCAGGGAAAAATGAAGATCAATGTGTCCGAAAACGCCCTGGCCGCCGTCCAACGCCCTGATAACATGATTTGTCCCGCCAATTCTGCCTTGGCTCATCTCCATATCCATAACCACTTCCTGCGAGAAACAAGTCTCTTGCAATTGTCGTCTCGTCGTCCTCTTCCCGATACATCGCATGCTGAGAGCGAACGCTAGTGACCGGGGCTTCTTTTGATGCCGAGGCGTGGTCAGGCATTAGACGTCCACACAAAGTCGTCGGATAAATCCGAAGCCTTGAAGCCCGACTCGTCAACCGGGTCACCCTCCTACATAACCGAAGATGACAGGAGTCGAGCGTCGACATCGTCCATGGGCAGCTCCATGCTTCCACGCGCCTCCATGCCTTGCAATCGCGACTCCATGTTCTGGAAACGAGGCTCGTAACCACCCGCGCGATTCTCGAGATTCTCTAGGCGCTTGTTCATCGTGTCAAGAGCTTGTTCGATGCGACCGAAGCCTTGATTCATGTCGTGATTGAGGCGATCAATCTTGTTGGTGAAGGAGCGGATCGATTGTGCGAGAGGGGTGTTTTCCTGTCCGGGAGGGGCGGTCGCGATGCGAGGCTCGTGGTTGTGACTGCCCTCCTGAACAGCAAAACGCCACTGGTTTCCGAGCTGGACCTCGCAGACGGCCTTTGCGCGCCATGGGCAGTCGACCTTGCGCGTCGATGGATTGCGCTTCTTGGCGGTGCTGCTGTACTTGACGCCGCCGCGGTCGCAAACCAAGTCGTAACGGGTAGGCTTGCCATCGCGGTAATTGGACGCGCGCAACTTGACAACTCCATATCCTTGGTCTTTTGCGACGCGCTGAACCGATGTCAGAAGGTCTTCGAAGGTCCGAAAGATGCCCTCAGGCGGTGGTAAGAGCGCAGGCGGAGGCGCATTCGACATGACGACGGAGGAGTCCAGCTTGGCGGTTGTGAAGGGTAAGTGGGGGAATGAATTCGGTGGTTGACGGATCCGGGGGAGCGGCGGACGCGTCGAGAAGTAGAAATAGAGGGGCGGAGAAATGAAGATGAAGATGAGACTGGTGCGACAGCTTTTTTGTTGGCGATAATATCCGTACTTCTTTGGGTGAAGGGCTCTCCTCAGAAGGGCTGCAACTAAGTTATCTGGTGACGGAACGGCAGGAAACACGGAGAGGTTGGAGTCAGAGAATTCCAATCCGCACGGTCTGAACTAGGTTGGCAGTTAATCCGCTCTCCGGCTAACCTTTTTAGCGAGGGTCAGCATCCAGGATCCAGCTGCAAGCCGCCCTAGTGTCCAGGGCTTGGCGTTCGCGTTGCACGTACCTACACAGTAAGGTAAGGTATCCAGCGTTTATGTTGAGTATCCGAGGGAGGTTCAGAGGGATGCTGCTGGCAATGCACACAATCTTTTCTTGCTGGGTTGATGGTGATGGATCATGTGGGGGAATGAGAATGGCTGGAGGTAAAGGACATGCGCTTTTATGTATTCCGCTTCTTTTCTCTTTTCTTCCAAAGATTGATTGCCTGGCCGGAAAGCAAGCTGCACCTTTCGCCTCGGACTCGACATACACCTTCACGTGACCAATCAACGGCCAGGTAGAGTGGACGTCCGGGAGTGGTGAGGAACCTGGTACGCCTGGCAAGGTGTCCTGGCCCCCGGGTGCCTTGCACCGTGATAGGTAGGCGAGATGTACTGGCCCTGCGGGAATAGTGGGGATAGGTACTCCAGAGAATAACGCACCAACCACCTTGACGCGCTGCTGGGAAAGTCTGCTGGGACCCGATTCTGGCCCTGGCCCATGCTTCCAGGTTCCATGGATGCGCTGCACCTGCGCCGCGTACCAGACGTTGAAGACATCACCTCCATCAATACACACAGTATCTCCGGCCTGCTTCGCGTACTCCTTTTGGGACCCCGACCAGCACCACGCATGACAGTGTGAGTGGAACGTTTGCCTTACAGACTGTGTCATTTGAAGTGTTCGCAAACACGGATCCAGCATTTACCTTTCTTGGACCATCTTTCGGCTGTGATTGCGCGTTGCGCCTCAAGCCATCGCTCGGCACCCATCCATCCAACCTCGCCGGTCTGGTCGTCGAAACGCCTCGGTCCCTTAACTCGACTCTCCATTTTCGACTCCCGACCCAGACATACCACACACCGCCTGCTCGCTGGTCTACCGACCGATTAGACCCTTCCTTCCTTCCTTCCTTTCGTTCTCCTGCGCCATGGTCTGATAGTCCCCTGCGCTTCTCCCACCAACACCCACTACCATGGCAAACAACGGCCCATCTATCAAGAGTGAGCCTGGTGCTCCAGGCTCCGAGGCATGGGATGAGGAACGTCTCGAACGGGCTCTGGATGAGCTCAAGCTCTTGCATGTCAAGGTTTGTTGTCCCCATAGCGCAGATGGATACTTGAGATCACGACACTGACATTTTGCAAAGCTTCGTGGTTTGCGAACAACAATACCCCGAATGATGGAACCTTTGTCGGTCAAACAACCAAGCCGTACGTCTGAAGTCTGCCATCACATGTTTCGTTCACTGACATTATGCTATCCAGCCCAAATCACGTTCCAAGCGTACATGGAGTCGGTGGCTGCGGCCAAGAGGGAAGTGCAAGACTTCCAGGACTTGAGAAAGAGCGACAAGATAACGAACATTATGGAACATGCCACACAACGTCGTAAAGAGGAGCCTAATGGCATCAAAGCATGGCGTACGACAGACCACCCTGACTGGACAACGACAGACCCATAGCGCTGTCTTTGATCTTCGGGTAGATATATCAGTAATTATGGCGTTAAGGCGACTATTACGCGGGAAGCGGATTGACTTTTGGGTACATCATGGCTTGATGGTGCATATATGAGCAGATGCGGACCGGGGCTTTAGGGGACCACTGCAAACAAGCTGAAGGGTATATTCATGAAAATGATGAGGAGAACGCAATTGGAACTCCAGTTGTAACTCAAATGTGATAACACGATTCCTTACCTTTGAAGCAGAGAATCACCAGTGTGGCTGGCTTGGCTGGATTCTGGACTCGAACCAAGCTTCCGAGATCACTGTTGCCGTTTGGCACTTTAAACTAGCAGGCTGCGGGTCACATTCCACCCTCCCATCCAATTGGCCGTCAACAGTGACTGTCAATGATTTCGCAGTCAAAAATTGTTAGCGTGTTTGGCACGTGAGCTGGGCTCAGTCCGGGGCTTTCCAGCTGGCAGCAGCCACATGTGGCTTGTCACCCACTGCCCCCGCCTCATTGGTCGCCTAAGCGGGCTCTATCTCGTCTTTCCACCCACACAAAATTTCGAGAAAGCACGAAAATCCGCTCGCGATCCTCGACTCTCAACTAACCAACCCGCAGCCCGCAGCAAATCAGTCACAATGGCCGGAAACCGTGTCCAGTACCGCCGCCGTAACGGGTGAGTGATTCTTCCTAGAGATATCGCATACGATTAATTCAACGACCGAACGACGTTACTCTTTCCCCGCGATCGCAAAATTGTTGCATGGTGGATAAATTGGGAAAAAGAGGCTGACTTGGAAAATTTCCGTGTGCAGCTACAACACCTCCTCCAACCTCACCCGCATCGTCAAGACCCCGGGTGGTGAGCTGAGAATCCTTCACATCAAGAAGCGCGGTACTGCCCCCAAGTGCGGTGACTGCGGTGTCAAGCTCCCTGGCGTAAGTTCGAACCCTACACCGAAGCCGAATCGAACGATCCGAGAAGCCATCTGAGAGAGTACGGAACTGTGGGATGTTATTCGGTCATGGTCATGGATGTCCTTGGAGAGGGGTCACATCTTGTCTCGAGGGGTCACGTCGAGGCTGGTTGGAAAAAGGACGCATGACTCCTGAGGAACCGGCGCTCCCAGATGGCAACGACGAACTTTTGGCTTCGACTTGGAGTGTACCAGAGCCAAGCAGAAGGCATGCTAACACGACCGCGACAGGTCCCCGCCCTCCGCCCCCGCGAGTACTCCCAGATCTCCAAGCCCAAGAAGACCGTCCAGCGCGCGTACGGTGGCTCGAGATGCGGTAACTGCGTCCGTGACCGTATCGTCCGTGCCTTCCTCATTGAGGAGCAGAAGATCGTCAAGAAGGTTCTCAAGGAGCAGAGCCAGAGCGAGAAGAAGAAATAAACCCGACGCATCTCTTCTTGGTCACGTCAAACACAACACTGGCAGGAATGGGAATAAGGGGTTGGTTCATTGCTTCGGTGTTCATTAGGGCAAAAACAGCATGATACAAAGGATCGTCGGGCCACGGGGCGGATTGAAACGGTTCTTCTTGCCGACGCTGTCGTTAGGGCACTGTTAGGCCTCGATACCTGAATGAAAACGGAAATCGAGCCCTTCAACAACACAATTCTTATTGGTCATGTGGGATTCCTGTTCGTTTTTCTGTGACGGACGACAACCCCACGGTGTCTGGTCGTGGCGCCCAAAAAAAAAGTGGTTTACTCCCGAGATCTGGATTATGACAGCGAAATTGAACTTTTCTCGCCTTTACGGATGACAACTGTGTTTAAGTCGCAAAATCCATGTTCGTGTCCACTTCAACTAGTAATATTTGGTTCCCCATCATGATGACGCCCGGCTTGTGTGTTTTCCGTCAACATTGTTCGTACTTGAGGTAGTCCAGCATCCCGCCTAACCCAGTAATCATGACGTTCAAGACACTGAGGCATCGCACCCCCGAAAAAAAAAAAAAGTCCCAGCTTCCCAGCTCTTCTAAACATAACCACATACAACTAAACAACCTTGCATGAATCTAGATTGATTCCAGCCCTCGAACTACCCAGCTTACAAACGAGGCAAGCAAACGAATCGATGAACACCTCTGCGACAACCCGCGCTCTTCGCGGATTCGCGCGCACCCAGCGCACCGTCCCCCGATCCATCCCTCGAGCTTCGGCGACATCATTACGACCCTCTGCCGCCGCCGCCGCCCAGCCGTTATGCATGCGCAGTCACTTCCACACGACTCCATTCAGATCAAAAAATGAGAAGCCCAAGGATTACCAAGGAGCGACTGACTTCAGCGAGATGGACGTGCTGGCCAACACACCCATCCCCTCGACTTCGATCGACGCCTGCGTATGGGATGGTTTCCACCTGAACAGCGGTGTCAAGATCATGGACGGCGATGCGGCGCTGCTCATCGGCGGCGAGGCATTCGAGTGGAGGCCCTGGGAGGCGAAGGGGTCCAAGAACCTGATCAACGCCAAGGGCCAGTTCGAGCTGCCCGCGGAAGCATTCGGGCTCCTAGATCTTGTCTGGCCGAGGCCTGGTGCGCCTACTTCTCTTCTTATATTTCGAGAGTAGTCCGGTTTACTAACGATGACTCTTTACAGATCTTCTCATCATCGGTGTTGGTCCCAAGATCGTACCCCTTAGCCCGGCGACGAGGAAACACCTCAGCTCGCTAGGCATCCGCGTCGAGGTGTTGGATACGAGAAACGCCGCCTCCCAGTTCAACCTTCTTGCTACAGAGCGAGGCGTCGATGTCGTTGCGGGCGCGATGATTCCCATCGGGTGGAAAGAGGGTAAGGGAGCTGTATGAAGTGCAGGCGGTGTCTCGGGAAACCTTCAATCCGATTCATGATGAGTCGAACTTGGAAGGCACACATTCGTCACCCAGACTGGAGTCATTCACATGACAGTCTCATAGCGATTCACAGCGATTCACAGCGATTCATAGGCCACCATGGGGTGTGACAGAGATGCCAGTTTCTCCTGTCCATGGCAAACTCTTGATTAACTCAACAGGGAGGCCATCTGTGTTTTCTTTGGGCCCCGCCACGAGTCCCACCTCTTGGCTGTGACTGCAAGAGCCGTACTATCACAACCCTTCAATGCTGACACGGAAACACTCCGCGACCAACATTAAAAACTTTGCTCGCCAGAGGTTTACTTGTAATACATAGAATACTAGTTACCTAAACGCAATGTACAATACCCAGCTTTCAACTTCATCTGATACGTAATCAGCCTTGCAGCACCCATGGACCCTGGACAATCCAAGTGAGAAAAGTCAATACAATTGGCCAGAAAAATCTAGATGCAATACACCAATGACAGTGTTTTCCCGGGCCCAGGTGGAGGAGAGATGACGAACTGTTGGCTGAAAATGAGCAGTGACATAAAATTGCCAAAAAGGCAAAGGTTTGCCGTGCCCGCCGAATGCACCTGCGGCCTGTCCCACCTTACCTGTCTATGGAGGCGGCTCATCGCTACTTACGCTACCTTACTCACCGGCGCGCGTCTCTCTCACTCATACCTTATCTCCCCTCCACTCATTCCGCTCTCACTCACTCCGACTCGAACCCCAGTGACAGATCTTGCCTTACGAACGGCCTGTTCCGACCACGTTTTCGCCTGCCTCTCGATCAGTCGATCTCTCACGAACGACACCTTGCCCCGCGCGCGCGTGTCTCTCACACTTTGAGAAAAACAAAGAAAAAAGAAGCATCCGCTTTTGTTTCTCCTGTAGTGCTTCTGGGCCTCGCGCCCAGCAGCACCTGGTGCAACAGACCAGAAGTCAACGAGGGGACCGCTTTCCCGCCTCAAACTTGGTTGACTCACATTCCCGCCCAAGTGTCACCGACCACGGTTGCCGCTAATCTCGTCGCTCCTTTTTCTCTTTCTTGTTATTCTGTCCGAACACGGCGTATTCACAAGATCAACGCTCTCGCGTCCCGACCAACAAAAGAAGGCCCGGCATTTTCTTATAGCGCACTACGTTCAGAGATACCCGCGCATTATCCGGTCTCCATTTTCCAACACACATTGCGTTGTTGAAGTCGAAATTGTTATATTCACTATACTCTACGCGCGGTATTACTGCCCGGCACGCGCCTGAATCTCGGCGTATGAGAACCGCCCTCCGTGTTCAATATGTCGGATCAACAACAGGGCGCCGGCTGGCTAAGCTTCGCCAACCCTCATGACCCTGGAGCTACCGATCCGACCTTGCTGAAGGATAATTCGGAGACTCGCTCATACACCACGGGGCGCTATACCTATTCTGGCGTCAGGACGTTCTACAAACGACACCTCCAAGCAGACCAGCTGCCCAACCCACCACTTCCCCTGCTTGTCTGCATCCACGGTCTGGGAGGGTCAGTAGCTCAGTTTCACCCGTTGCTGACAAGTCTGGTTCACATATCATCATGCCTGGCCATCGACTTGCCCGGCTGCGGCCGCTCAGAGTTCACCCAGCAGGCATGGGACGCCTATACCCCTGAAGCACTCTGCGAGCTGCTTGAGGTCATCATCGATGAGTATCGTCAGAAGGAGACCGACCGCAGCGTCGTACTCATCGGCCACAGCATGGGGACTACCATGTGCGCACAGCTGGCGAGTCGCAATGCGCCGCACAAGACGGACCTTCGCAAGCACGTTGTCGGACTGGTCGCCATCTGTCCCGTAGCCGGTCCGCCCACAGAAGACAAGACAACGCTATTTCGGAGGCTACTCTGGGTACCCGGCTGGATCTTTGACCTGTGGAGGGCTTACGATCGGTGGGGAGGCCCGCAAAGTGCCAGCGTCAGTCGATTCGTTGGCCCCGGTGCTGATCTCGAGCTTCGCAAGCTCCAGGACCGCTTCAACAATCAAAGCAGGACGCCCGTCTGGCGCAGAATGGCCTGGGGATCACTTCAGAACTATGAAAATGGAGTTGCCAAAGGCGGCGTTCCTGGCAAGGACGTGTGGGCCGGCGTTGATGTCCCGGTCTACCTCGTTGGCGGAAAGGAGGACAAGCTCACGAAACCTGAGGAGGTGGACAAGATCAAGGACTATCTCTCAGGCAAGGCGCCTCTATCGCCCGAGACTGGGTCGGACGATGGTCACGAAACCATCGTCGACGCGGCGGCACCGGTCAACACATCAAAGAATCCGACGGACCACGGGCCCGAGAGTATAGATGATATTCGAGACGAGGACTTCCATCGAGATCGTAAACTCAACGAAGATGCGGATAATGCTCTCGAAGATCCGTCGACACCCCAAGAGTCGCCCGCAAACGTCCCGCCTCAGCCCCGGCATCCTACCAAGGTCGTCAGGTCTATCATTATGCCTGCGCCTGCCAACCACGCGCTTCTTTTCATGCCTGCGACAGTCAGAATTCTGGCTGGTCTGATCTCCGACTTCCTTGCCAATCATGTCACTGGTCGTCTGTCCCTCGGATGGCAATTACAGTATCTCTCACGGGAAGGCAAGTGGGATGTGAAGAACTTGGCCAAGTGGAAGGGCGTTGTCCCGGTTTCCCACCCAATCGGTCCAGCAGGCAGCCCGCCAGTCTTCAGAGCGATGAAGACTCTGCGAGAAGCAGACGATACGCATTGTCCTGCCGAATTTGTTAAGAACTGGGGAGGGATCATCAAGGACGTGATTGACATCAGTCACGACAAGCCAGTGTACGACCCACGGAGCATGGAAAAGGGCGGCGTACGATATCATAAGTTCGCGACGGTCTCAAAGATCCCGCCAAAGGACTCGGAGGTGGCCCACTTTATTGCGCTCGTGGACAAGTTGCGAGAGCAGCAGAAAGCGAGGGCCGAGGAGGAGAAGTGGGCAGAAGTGGACGGCCAGACGCAGGTTATTGGAGTCCACTGCCACTATGGCTTCAACCGCACTGGCTACTTTATCGTGTGTTATTTGGTCGACCGATGTGGGATGTCGGTAAAGGACGCAATCGAGACGTTCAAGGAGGCGAGGCCTAACGGGATCCGCCACCAACACTTTAGAGATCGGCTATATTTGCGGTATTCGGGACTGCAGGAGGAGGAGGCTGTGGAACAGCAGCAGAACGGTTCATGAGATTCTCCCTAGGGTGTTTCAACATAAGCATTTCGTGGGCATAGGGGGAGTGAAAGGGGTTTCAACAGGCAGCGTCACTGATTAATGATAAACATACTTGGTCAGCCTCGCGGTTGACAGCATAATGAAGTCTCCTATACCCTGAAAATTTCAATGGCTAGGCCCAGAGCACCTCGGCTGAGAAGCCTACGCTTACCATCTGTCGTGTTACTTGAGTGATGATGACTCTTCACTTTAGGCAGTCGATCTTTTTGATTTCATTCCTCAATGTCAGAGATAGATGTAGGAGGCGACTCTTGGAGGTGTATCACACAACATGATCTTGCCTGATTGCAATAAATTCGCAGACGAGCCTTCCTAGTAAGCTATTTGGCTGGGTACCCTCAAGAACTCGTTATTCGCGCATCGGTTTACATATCGAGCTCGGGCAGAACTATTTTCGACTTAAACGTGATTCTTCCCGTCTGTTGCATCTAGACTGCGGCCCCCCAGGGACAACGTCGACAGACGACGCTCTTTGAGTGCGCCTACATGATTCCCATTGCCAGCGGGTTATCTCCCGAGCCTTAGGTGAACTGGGACATCTTCTCAAGAATATGGAATTCAATGGAGATATGGAATTCAATGGAGTGTCACGTATCGTCTCGTATAGAGGCCATTCGGGCAAAACACCTTGCTCTTGAATGATCAAGCAGCCAAAGATCTCGTATACCTCGACACCGCACATATCCGTCCATAATCTCCCCCATCCCTCGTCGCTCATCTCTCGCAAGCGCCTTCAGAACTTCAAAAGAATCAAATTATCGATACATTTCTGCCACCGGGATACTTCTCATCTTCAGCAAAAGAGAACACTGATCAGTGGGAGGCTTGAACTCCCGGCCTTGGCATTTACACAACATTTCTTGATGAAATATTAGTACCACGCTCTAACCAACTGAGCTAACCGACCCCATCCTGAAGCGGACTTGAAATGTGGGATGTGTGATGTCGTGTGGATTTTGCCCTAAGTTGAGGGAGGGCCACGATGTTGGGGGTCCTCGGAGGGGCGGGTCGCGGGGCTCTTCGGAGGGTTCGGTGGGACCTCCGGCGCTGACGGATGGGTCAGTGACGACGTGTCTACGTGTGTCGAAGATTTGGAAACGGGTTTCGAGGGATTGAAGGCTATGGGAGTTGTGAGGGACTGAAAATTGATGGAGAGTATGTTTGGATTCTGACACCGATGCTCTTTTCCTCTCTTTAGCTGCAGACCTGATCTGTAGAGCACGGGCATCGCGAATGACGACTTCAACTCGGTGTGGTAGTAAAATCCATGAGATAGATCCCAGTAATCGATTAAGGAGGTGCAGGAACAGTTCATGATCTCATCAGTAGCATGTTATTACAATCGTTGACACCAAGCCTTAGGCGCAGTTCTTGATACATTCAAGGCTAACATGGCGAGATAGTTCGTGATACATCAAGGCTAAAAACTATGCTGAGATTGTATGTAATGTCTTCAACACTATATGTAGTGTAGTAATAGAGACGCTTCCCCTCCCCGTAGGCGGCATTGCGACAAGCATTCCCCCTCGCGTGGAGGTTTTACTTGGTACGAAGGCGAAAGCTTGTAACACTCATGGCAAACTGATGATCAATTCAGGCGGGCTCTTTTATACGCATCTGGAACGAGCCTCACAATATAATTCGTATCAAATCAACAGACAACTCGATGGCTTCTGTATCAGTAGCAATATGTTTACCAGACGACTACATACTTCGAAAGTCTACAGTCACAGATTGCGATTGACCTGAGATCAAGGTTTCGTATACGGAAAATAGGGTAGAATGATGTTAACGGCTGTGAACAACTGCTCTCTCTATGGCCAATTACCTATTGCTGGGACTTGACATAGGCTGGCTCGTCAGCTCATTTGAAGATTCAGTGCTGTCCCCTGAAGGTTGAGTGCCAAATAAGATGTGCGCGCACTGCGGCCATGGCCGGTTGACGGTCCAGCGCGTGAATGGGTAGTTGATTGGGGCGCTGCTCGCTGGGTGACTTGTAGGTAATGCTATCAAGAGCCTGAGAACTATTACACGCTGCAGGTAGTTCTTCTCGATCCATCGCTCTACGTGTTTTCAGCGAGGCATACTGAAGGCATCGGGCTGATAAATAGCAGTGTTTCTGTCAAAAATGTCATGAAACATATGATATATCTGGCAAGGAAGGCCGTTTATCTCTCTGTTTAGACCTAGACGGAAGTCGGTTGATACAGAAGTCGATTTGGTGGAAGTGGTCTCCTGCTACATGCTATACGAGAAGTCATTCTGTGAGATACCATCCTTCAAGCAAAAGCTTTCAGCAGATGCCTCTGTGTCCGTACGATGGCAATCGCTGATCTTATAGAGGACCATGGACTGTTCTCTCCATGTCCTCGTCTCAACTGATTTCTCTGCTCGTATTCACAAAGAATGCGAAGGCCGTAGACATATACTCTTGTCATGATACTCTGATCCTGTTCCCAGCGGGCTCAAGTTGGCTTTTCTTCGCCCTCCGCACGTATGAGAGGGCGATTCAGAAGCAGCGTAAAACGACTTCAGTACCACATCAACCAGCGGGACAGAAAATGTCTTGATGGAAAGGACTTTGGAATCCACGACTTATATACGACTTTACGATTGCATTTACTGATTAAATATGAAGAGAGGTACCAAAATCGCCGCCACGCAGGAAGGCTTTCTGAACTGCGAGACTTCTTCTTCAGAGGTGGTCACGACGAATACGAGATGAGTACATTGCAAGATCACAGATGGGAAACTTCGGTCTCTGCGCTGCATTCGACTTGGCTTTGCATGTGCCCCTTTTTCTTCAAGAAGCACAACTGTAATTGATGTTACACTTTCTAGAGTCATTTGTGAAATCGAGACTCTCTTCCTCTCTTGTGAGTCTCCTTGATCATATCAAGGAATTCATGGTCTTTCGTGTAGTCGCGTTGAACAGTTGGAAAGTGGTGCTTGTACATGATCTCACAGCGGCTTCGCAGCTCCGAAGAAACAAACAGGAGAGCTCGCAACCAAATGGATAAATAGATCACAACAATTCAGGGGAACCCGAGAAGCCCTCCCTCTTTCTCCGTAACCACTGGGCCGTCTCGTATATTATATCTTTCAGGGGAGTGAAGATGTCTCCTTTCAGGCACTCGACACGAATACATTCGTGCAAGGCAGACAATCTCCATCCACATCGCCAGCCGCCATCTACTCCGGGTTTTTGGCCCCCTTCTAAAGCTTCTAGGTCCACAACCCAACGCCGTCGAAAAGCTCATGCTCGACATCGCACGCCGTCGAAACCAAGAGTAAATTCTCCGCAAGCGCAGAGAAGATCAAGATCACCGGCGTGCCGCGATTCTGAACTACGGCAAGAGATGGTAGCTTCCACAGCGGAGGACGTTACCGGCGGCGTGGCCTTGGATAGCTTCGCGATCTCAAAATGACGGACATTCGAACGGCTCGCTCAACGGATCTGTCTCCTAGACGCCACCTACCATTCCTCCCCTCCCTCTATTGCTCCCTACACCGAATCACCTCTCTGGAAGCAGGCAACCAAACCCACACAAATCCAAACAAACATCAACTTTGTCTCTACGAAATGCGAACCGGTTCGCGCGTACCCACGTGGGGATCGAGAACGGCGGACAGTAGGCGGCCTCCCGTGAGCCAAAAACCGACATGAGATGCCGCGGGACGAAGAGAATGGTCGGATCTTCATCCACGTAGTTCGTTCATCCTTCGTGTTGATCGGTCCAGGCACATAACCTCACTCATTGGACATCTCGGCGAGGCCGTTTCTCAAACTCTGTTTTTACGAGATATTTCTGCCCCTACATCGTCACAAGTTAAACCCAGATGAGGAGCCGAACTGCAGAGTCTGCACTTTGCAATCACCAATCGTGACATGCACGCAAGCTTTACATCACAATCACATTCCCACGCATCCACAACGAACACACCGGATCTACGAAACCTTCATCCTTCTTTGCCCCCTAATCCAATTCTGCAAAGCTTTCATTTGACTCTCTCTCGTGCCTCATAACCTCTGTCGCCCACAGGACCAAGCCAAGCCCCCCCTTATCACGCACGTCAGAAGACCGACAAACCGCCGCTCAGGCAATTCTCGTGAAAAGAAATAACACGCCGTCACACGGGCATGTAATGAGCAGGGCACCGGACAAGGGGGGTCAAGGGTCAACACCCTCTCTCTTTTCTCAATACGAACATCTTCTTCGAAAAGGCGCGCGAATGAGCGGGTGATTGGGCAATCTCGGAATATCGTCTCCTATCCTCAGAGCTCCTAGCACGCGGCCAAGTCCCGAGTCCAGGCCCAGGCCCTCCAATTCAGGAAAGCAACTCATCGCACGAAAGTCTCTCTTTGCATCAAAAACTTGCTTTCGTGCTTCGCGTCTGTAATGTGATGAGATCCCAACAGTCCAAACAAGGGCAACCTCCAGCGGATCCTGCATTTCTGCTGCTGCCTCCTTCACTCCGTACATACCATCCAGCCATCCAGCCATCCGTCCATCCATCCATCCATCCACCAGCCAGCCCCCCCTTGCGCTTCGTCAACCCCATCGTGAAAATCAAAAACCCAAAATCAGATGATCAAACCTGGCATGTACGCTCCATCAATGGGCCGCCGCTGACTGCTGCCTCCCTCCTTCGAACGAAAGTCACACGGGCTATGCCATGCAAGCGCACGAGCAAAAGCGAAGAAGACAAGACAGCGACAAGACAGCCTTCTCCAATCCTTCTCCCCCCCAGCCATCACATCACACATCCCATCACGGGCATCAAGGGAAGGGCCCATCTGACAACACTCAGACCAAACGCCCCCAGCACCAACACCAGCACCAGCACCAGCCAGCTCCGAAAGGCCCGCAGGCTGCGGGAACAGCAAAGACCCTCAAGACCGGACTACGGCAGCTACTTTCTTGGGGAAGAGACAAGACCAGGCCGGGCTCCTGCATGGCATCAGCACCAACACCAGCGCCAGCATCAAGACAGAGAGCACTGTTCATCGTCAAGTCCAGTCCAGTCAGGTGGCCGGGGATTGGGGATGGAGGGGGAGCACAATAAACCCTCAACGTTTAGTTCGGTGGCTGACCCTATCTTGAACTTGGCTAAGCTACGTGTTCTACCTCCCGTGGTAGAGACCACCAAACGGCCACGACACGTCCACGTCCCCTTTGGACACGCGCCGAGAACTGACCCTCTCACTCTCACTCCCTATGTGCTCTCTCTCGCGTTTCCGTGATGTTCCAACGAAGACAGCTTCATCCTTTATCCGTCACTCGCTTCAAATCCTTCCCTCAGAATAAACACAAATCGCACACCCCCTTTCACTAGTTCCTTTCCCCCGTCCACCTGTTCCCTCATCTTTCTGGGCTAATCTTGGTTCACTCACGGCCCTCAAGCCAACAAGAATGGGGAAAAAATTACCAGATGACAAGCCCGCAGGAAAGGTCGAGCGCAAAAGGCTCAGGAAAAAGGAGCGCAGAAGTGTCATAGCACATAGCACACCCCCAGAAACCACAAAGACCGGCGGACAAGAGGCGGGACAGAACGAGAGAGAGGAGAGAAAGACGAGTCCCTCGGACAGTGAACTAGCTTGGTACACCACTTCGCGCGGATGTGGGATCTTCTCACTCACTCTCACTCTCACTCTCACACCCGTCTCGTCTGTCGCGCATGAGGCCTAACGCGCGTCATGTCCATCAGGTCGCTCGCTGATTCACCAATTCGTGTCGCGAGAAAGAGGCAAGCCAAGCCGTGTATCGTGTCTATGGAGACCAGAGACTGGAGATATGATGTCGCGAGACTTTTGCCTTTCCCCCTACTGTATAGTTAGCGGTAGTAGTCTCCTTTTCCCCTACTTGCCACACCCACGCCCCCCCCCCCTCCTTTTTCGTTCGTTCTTCCGGGCTCTCTCATTCACACTTGTCTCCATCGTGGGTTCCTCATTTTGTTTCTCCGCCAGTCTTACCGCATGACGCCGGTTGATCGTAGGAAAAGGAAAAGCTGGCTCGTGTACGAAGTACACACTCCCTAGGCTTTGCTTCTCTTGCCGTCCTTCCACCCCTCATACCGGGGGCTAATCAAGCGTGCTCCTCCTCTTTCTCACCTACCGGTATCCCTCTTTCCCCAAGCATACATCATGCAGGTATCGACAGCCAAACAAGAAGGAGGAGAGTAATCCACACGCCCTGGATCTGGCATGGCCTAAACCAGAGAGGGTAAAGTAGTCCCGTAGAGACAGCGAGAAAAAGAGAGAGGGAAAGAAGACGGCAATACGTAGAGAAACCCCAATCCTCCCAAATCGACGCCGTCTCGAGAACGAAGGAGGCGCCCGCTAGGGCGATGCTGCGCTATTCGAACCAACAAGAGAAACAGAGCAGCAACAAGGCAAGCCCTCAAAAGATTCCACGCTACAATCGTCCGCTAGACACGTCTCCCATATCAAATCAATGACACTAGACGGGGTGGGAAAGGGAAGGTAGATGATCCCATTACAAGCAAACAAGGGGAAAGAAGAACAACGCCTGACCAAGGGGTGTATCTTGCGTGCTGCTTGCCCATGTGGGAAAAAAGCCAACGCCAGAAAGACGCCCGACATCCAGCGCCAACGCCAATATCAGCACCAAGACCAACACCAAGACCAACACCAGCACCAGTCATCGGCTGACGGCGTGAGCGTTGGAGGAGGGAAAGAGGAAAAAAGGGGACCCGGGAGAATAGGGAGATGCCAGCCATCAAAGGAAAGGAAACCAAGATGGACTTCTTTTTGGTACGAGACGGTGGGAGGAACAAAGTACGTTGGTCTCTGTTGAGCACGTTCCGAGGGCGAACATGGCACCGGCCATTTGGCCTTTTCCTCGAGCCGGACCTGTCGTCCTATGCCTATGGCGTTCAACCCGGGGTACCTGCCACGGAGTCGACTCCGGGAAAGACGGCCGCCAAACTACGGTGTTTCCAAAAGTGACAATTGCCAGCCTACTCCGTACCAACTACCAAACAATGGGCAGAGTCGCAAACCGGAGAAGCGGGAGGAGGCGGATGAGGGGACCGGGTGACCTAATGACCGATGATGACTGAATAGTATCCGTAATACCTAGAACAATTTGTCATTGCTGGCTCTTCGTCCTTCACCCCCTGAACAATCCAACGGAGAAAGACTTTCGAAGGAGGCTTGCAAACAAACGCCCGCCAAGTTACGCAATGCGCTCTTTCTCTTTCTCCGCTTCAAACTTCATCCACCTGCGGCTGGGCTTTCCCCCCGCCTCCCGCGACTGGTATTGATTCCAAAGAGTACCAATTTGATACGAACGTGCGCCATGTCACGAGGAAGGGGTGGGGAGGGAACGGGTAGTACGGTATGTCTAGGTTCAGGTACCGTACAAGGCATAGGTAAGGCAAGTCAAGGCCAGGCAAATCTTACCCTTTGAGAGGAAGTCCCACCCCTTGCCTTCTCTCTGACCTCTTTCTCCAATTCACACAGCATAGCTCTCCGAGTCGTCGCATCCGATACGCCCTATGCAAGCGTAGGTATCAGATGAGGGAATTGCACGGAGCAAAGAGCAGAAGGCAGATATGGAGACCTGAGAAAGCAACGAATCAAAGAGAGATCAGCGCTCTTTCCGCACTGCCACCGGGTGTCCTCGGACGGCGTCGAGGAATAAAAGATCTTCGAACCTAGCGCGGCGGGGAAAGGGGAGGCGGGAGGGGAGGGGGCCAAAAACGTATGTAGTGGTAGGTAGGTAGCAATCCGTAGCCAAGAAGATAGGCCGTGAGAGGAAGGATGGGAGGTAGCAGGGAGCAGGGGGAGGAGGAGGAGGAGGAGGAGGAGGAGGAGGAGGAGAAGGGAGCAGTGCATCCGTAAAGCTGTACTGCGTAGAGGGGGGCCAAGATGGGAACCTTGCCCTTGGACAGCCCGTCCATTCTCTCTCACTCTCTCCTCGTTGACCCTCCATCGCTCCCGCCGCCGTCTCTCATCCGCCGCCCTACCGAAAGAACAGACCACAAGGAAATCAAGACCCGGAACTTGGAAGAGCCTCTTGGACGCTTGTCGGATGGAAACGACGTGGATCCCTACTAGACTGGAGATGCAGCAATACGGGCTGGCACGAATCATTGAAAGTACGCCACTGTATGCGACGTTGGGGGAAATTGCTTGGGGATTTTCGGGTTAATTACCCAAGATCCCGTGTATTAGGCCGAGAAGGGTATGAAGGCAGCGCCACGGAAGAGAACGAGAGGAGAGGATGGATACCTAGTTGGGTACTCAGGGGGGTGAGTGTGTGTGCCTGGGTCGACCATAGGACAACCTGGGTCTGGACAATCTCGACACCTCCAATCCACCCCTTCACTTGGGAGGTGTGGTGGGCTCTACCAGTCTTCTAGAGGCCGTGTACCTGAGAAGGCAGGGTTGGTCACGTCACGTTGGTTTTATTGCATTGACAGAGTGGCTTGTCTCCTGTCCGCTGTTGCCGCGTTTGGATGAACGAATGTGCCGTCTCAAAACAGACATGGATGGGTTTCTGCGGGGAGAACAGACATTAAGTGAGGATAGGAGGAGGAGAAGCAGGAGTGGGAGGGTACGGTGAATGTTCCGATATCCTGAAGAGACGAGACCCAAGGATGGCTTTCTCCTCGAGTCAGTTGACTGAGGAGATCCTGCAGGCTGCTTATGCTGTTGGGAAGGACTCTACCGTGGTTGCGGATAGAGACGCTCCCTCCACATGAAATGTTTGAGAAAGTGGGCTGGGGGGGGGGGGAAGGCGGAACAAAGAGAATCGCTCTTGGGGCGCGGAAGGAGTAGTGAAAGACGCCAATCTATGATTGGGGGCTGTAGGTCCGTAGCTCTCTCTCCATCTTTCATCTCCATCTTTCTCTGGTGTCCCTCACTCTTTCTGAATGAGCTCAGGCTTCCCGCTGGAGAGGGGAGTGTGGCAAAGGAGGAGAAGGGAAGGGGGGCATTGGCAAGGGTGAGGACGAGGGTGTGGGGGGTGGTTTGGAGACGAACAAGTGTCTGTGTGGGCGTGGGATCTAACAAGTTGGCTGTCATTGTGATAGCTCCTCATGTGCCTGTGTAAATGTGCCCAGCTCTTCGTCCAAAGGGCTTCGTTACGGACGTTGTCAAGTACGGTGAAAGGGAGAGAGCGCCACAGGTGGGAAAGTTTATTTCGGCGTGATGTCTTGGAGCTGTCATCGTGATTGGACACATAACCGGCAGGGGAGATGAAGGTCCTGCGCAGTCTGAGACCTCTCTTGTGGGTAGATTACGCATACGTATGAGACTCGTCTTTGGGTGCCTGTATCTGTAGGGATGAGTGAAAAGGTCGTGGTTGCGGTATCCGGAGAATACCTACCATACCCACGCATGCCATGCTCGATTCGTATTCATCCTTGCGTTTGTGCTTCTCTTGTCTCATGGTGAGGTATTGTTGCATTCAAACCTGGGCAGGGCTCAAATTTTCTTGAACCATTGACTGGCGCGCCAAAATCGCGCTTCCAGATGTCTAGACCCGATTAGGCATGACGGCAAGTCTGGATGTGAGATTGTAGTGTACGTAAGTACGGCTAGAGGGAGCCAGCAAGCACGCACCACGGCTTTTGGTGAGCGGGAGAGCATCATCTAGCCTGCCGTAGGTCGTAATGGCGAGAAACAGAGCGAGCCGTCACCCGATGCTGAAGAATCGCTAGCTGAATAGAGGCCGTGTCGACGTGTGTGGCGCGCTCTGGGCCCAAACTCTGTCGGGGACCTTTGACATACAGTCTCTAGATATGCTTGGTATGCGAATCTTTACAAGGAAAGAAAAGTCTGTAAGTTGCAGACAGGGAGCAGGGAGTCGGGACGCCAATACCAATTCCAGCCTGTACCAAATGGAACCCGAGTCGAAGTGCCCGTTTAGTTTTGTCCTTCACTGCCATTGCCCATATGTCCCGACGTTTGAGACGAGGAACAATGCTCGCAGCTCACCAGATGTCCCGCGACAGGAGGCTGAGGACAAGGCTTGCGTCATCTTCTCATCTTTGAAAGGAAGAAGCGGAGTCGCGAGCTATGTAAAACCCGTCTCGCTCGGTTGAGTTTTGCTTGACCTGCATAAGGTACGCGGCATGGAAGCGTCCCCCGTCTTCCCCAGAGGGAACACCACGACCGCAGTCTCGGGACACCGTGGTGCGCCTTTTTCTTTTTTTTGTGTGCCTCGAGCTTCTGCCACAATCCGATGTTTACGGTTTCAAGGCTTCTTCCCAAAAAGAAGTGCGGCTTCAGGACAGAAGCAAAGGCCCCAAAGGGTGTGTCCGTCTTACATTCAAGGCTTAGCCCCAGCCCAGATACGGAGACGGAGTACCCATCTACAGGCTATCTGGTGCCGCCGTCCCAAGTGAAAGGGTAGACTATTGCCGCACCATGTTACCTACCATTTGGCGTTATTCTTTGTACAACTTGGTTGCGCGCGAAAGCTCGGAGAAAAGCAAGGCTCCCCAATCGAATTCGCGTACAACCCGGGGCCAGGTGCTTGGGGCTTGGAGACCAGCGAGACAGCAGCAATAAACAACGTGGTGGCCTGGTCGACGGATGATGTTCACAAGGATCGGCGCAGCCCCGGTCGCGCGAGGCCCACCCGGGAATATGCAACCCAAAACCCCTTTTTCAACGACATTCAAGCGCGAGTCGTGCGATTCGATATCATCACCGCCGCTTTTTGAATAGGCGGAAATCGCGCGTTAGGCCCGGATTCCGCACAAGAACATCCGTGTCCGTACGTTCCATCTGTGACGACTATCTCAATCGGCTTGTTCATGTAACCTTGGGGTTCCATTGACGGGAATCGTATGGACCATTTTGCACCGGTATGCGTCCTTTGCTGCTGAGTATTGCTTGTCCCTTGGCAACGCAGCAAAGCTGTGCCAATTGCTTCCACAAGCGTAGGCAGAAGCTAAAGAATAATGGCGGGCGCTGGGACGAATTACCAGATGCAGGATTGCACCGACTGCAGCTTCTGATGCAAGCCAAACCTATTCGTAATTAATAGCACATGGCATTACGGCCATTAAAGAAAGCCAGAAATATCCAAGATCTTTCGAAGCCTCGAGTCCAAGAAGCAACTCCCCATTCATTTCTCGCACGGCACCTCTATGCCGACGCCAAGCCGGTTGAAGAGAGTGAGATGGAGGAGCACTTACATCAAGAGGCTCGAGAAATCCAATCGCCAAAGCTAGTCACAATCCGCTAGCCATGGAGAGGTTGATGTTCCCTAGTCGCACCATGCTCCCAGCCCGAGGACCGATTTCTGCGTCTTCCCTAGCGTATGTACATCATCGTGCTTCTCAATCGCGTGAATGTTTCTTGTATCGTAGATAGCGACAGCGTCGGTACCGTTGGGAGCAAGTTGGAGCACTCATCTGCCACTATCCCTCCCAGATATCGCCGAGAACAAAGGAAGTCACCAACTAGTTGGTAGAAGTCCGTTGGTGAAGCACGATGATGTTGTCTTTCTCCGCGGGAGCTATAGTAGGAACCCACTTGTGCTGGGAGCCAAGCCAGGACGAGATAGTGGCGGAAGCGAGAGTGCCACTCTTGTAACTTGCTGACTGGTATGGTCATATCATCGATGTCTGTCGTTCTGTCGTTCTGTCTACTTCACTAAGTTGCCTTCAGAGGCAACCTTGACGGCGACGGCGGCATTCGGGTCTCTGCAGTCTCATCGGAAGCCGCTGGCCTAACAGGTAGACCTTCCAAGGAAGCATCATACCGTCCAGTAGCCCCAACGGTTGTACACAAGGAGTAAATAGCCCAAACGACCGTAAGCTGATTCCCTGCGCATGTTAGTCTGCGGGATAAATGCAGCTGATAGACTATGCTCTCGCACGGACAATGTTCACTGACGAGATTGACCTGTTGTTGGGATGAGTGACTAGCTCTGTAAACATCAAGGCGGTTTCAACGCCCATACTCCCCAAGCTCGTATCTTTCCAAGGTCACATCCTGTCTGTTGGTTCTTTGGTCGCCGACCAAACTTTCGCCACTCAGGGGTCCAATATCATCTGGATGAAGCATTGCGCATCGAGAATGGCCGCCATCCTGCCAAGGGGAACATCCATGGATTGTAAAGGTAGCAAGGATGGGCATACTTGAAGCTGTATCATCCGATGTTTCTGGTTGAGTTCGACTCACGGTGGTATAGTTCTTCGCAACAGTACGCGCGGTTTGCAGGAGGAACACTCAATCCAGCTCTTCTAGCACAAGCATTATCGATGCTGCTTTGACTTGTGATCCGGGGATGATGAGCTTCACTAGAGAACCATGATTTGCGTTGGCTCGCAGGGGAGCCGCAGGACACATTGTCGCGCACACACTCTGGCTTCTGTTGAGACTGGGCCGGACCCTGTCTGATACCGGCGAATGCAAATCATCGGCCACGGGAAAGGCGACAACCTCTCTTCGTCGGCCCTCTCGCCGGCAAGAGGAGTTTCGTCTGCCCAAGCCCCTAACATATCTCATTGCTCCGGCTGATCTGAGAGGCTCGGGGACATCGAGCTGGGAGAGACTGGCCAACGCAATTTTTGCATCAGAGCCATGGGAATATCCAAGTTATGGACAAAGTTCTTGCCGGGTCGGAAGTAAAAATGACGCGTTGGCCCGATTTGCATCTTTTTCGGTTATGGCGGCACATACATGAAGTCCTTCCGGCGCCCCAGGTGTGAAGTCGGCGTGGTGAGGCTCAAGTCGAGTCCCAATACGTGCCGCAACCAAACAACGAGTGGACGGTCGGTAGATTTCACTGATTGAGTAGCGAGGCCGATCTAAGCCGACACCAATCCAACTAGGCCGTATGACAACCAGCCTGCCACGCTTGCCCACGCCTGCCCGCAGCTAGAACTCATCATGTGCCGTGCGGTCGAGCATAAATTGCCGAATTTGATTGGATACGACCTGAATGCAGATGGCCATGGCACGCAGGATGCGTCCTTAGTACTCGAAAGAACCGTCGTACTTGGTTTCTCGGTTGTCCTCCGAACGCTAGACACAGAAACATTCCAGCACACCACCCGGCAATGTGCTTAGTCGGCCGAGATGATGACTCAGCTTGTCTTGTACCACTGTTCACGGCACCACGTAACCGATCTTCGATTGATGCCCCGTCGGTCTTGGATTTCCAAGGCTTTTGGCGGAGGTGTAAGTTTCTTCAGTGATCATCATTGCCTGAAGCTCGCTCTTTCGCGCAAAGGGATGGGCGCGTGGAGCGTCTTTGGTCGATCAATGGCAGGCAACAGAAGCAGCCGATCGACAGGGCGCAAAAATCCCTGACTATGCGTGAGATGAGCACTCTTGCAAGCCACTGCTGAGAGGTCGCGAGTCAGGTTCCGAGGTGTTAATGCAGAAGACAATCTGCAGAATGGCCAGTCACAATAGTGAGGTAGCCGTATTAGCTGGTAAAGAAAGAAACCCTAGCCGGGCTGGAGGGGTTTGATGCTCTCATCGTCTTGTGAGTTTCGCTGCAAGTAGCGTTGATTCAACCAGGCAGTTTTGCGAAACAACGAAGGCTGTTTTCGTGGGGCCTGTAATGTTTCTGGCCGCACCTCTAGTATGACGCAGCTCCTCTTAATGGTAGGATTACGAAGTAGGCTCAACTATCGCGCGGCGGATCACTGGGCTAGTAAACGTGGGGAGGTGTTCGTGGTGTGCCATTGTCGCACGCGTTGGCTAACAGCTGAAGCACTTCGTGGCATCTTCTCTGTACATTGAACGTTTTGCAGCGAAGACAGCACCGATAGCTGCAAGGGATTGTTTGGTTGTGGGGATGTGGTGCTCGATGAGCCGCTCGCCTAGACCAGTTTGTTTAGGTCGGATAGCGGAAAGGAATCTGCCCTCCTCGTGGAATTCGCGCGATGATACATCATAAAGTTGAACTGCAGTGCACAATCATGCATCACGTACGAGGCGGATAGGCCCAATGAGGATAGCCGAGTTTTGAGGGCCGCCTTACCTGAGAGACTATCGAGTATCGACATCTGTCTGGCTGGGGTGGACATGTGCGCATCGTGTGTAAGTAAGCCCTGTCTGGATCCGTGTGGTGAAGATGATCAGGTAGACCGTACTGTATCCGTAGATGGACAGCTGAAGTAGTGGATCCGAAGCAGGAGGACGATCTTCATGTCCATGTGAATCATTGCCAGGAAAATTGGCCCACGGCAACTGGGGAGATGGGAAAATCGACTTTCCCACTGCTGCCGGCCGACTGAGTGTCTTTTCGCCTCCTCGCCTCGTACCTCCACTTGGATTGCTCCGCTGCCGGCCGTGTTTCTCGGAACCTGGCGCGTCCGATCTCGACTGTTCCCGTATGTTTGTACACACGGATGCTGATAGGCGCGGCGTAAGCAGCGGAGCCGTCGTGATAGGTGCCTCAACCGGCTGCAGCCTGGAGCCGGGAGCCTTTTTCTCCTTGGAACCCTTTCCACTTGGTTCCTATTCCCTCTCCCGTAGGGCAGACATCTCAGCCGTCCGGCTCTAGCGGGTATGCACGGCCTTTCCACTCTCCTCCGTGGTCCCTTCACCGCTAACTCGCCCTTCGTCGACCAGAGAGAGGCATGCGGGAATGCCCTTGATGGCCTGTCTGCTTGTTGCCCAAGTGCGCATGTCTCTTTCCTTGGCCGTGGCCCGCGCACCGCTTTTGACCATCGTCACTTGCCGCTGTGGATGTGTGATACTCGACCAACTGGCGGCGAGTGAACTAAGCCGTTTTCCCAGCATCCAGGTTGCACTTTATCCATGCATGTTACCTAAGGACATGCAGGTCGTGCCAATTGCAATCACAGTGCCAGAATTGATGTCTTGTTCACTGTCTGCTGAACCAGCGCAGCCCACCCACCCCAATTCGACCAGGGGGAATGAAGCATCCTTGCGCGTTGGGGGCTTGAAATTGGCGGCACTCTGCTTGACACCATCGGGTGCTGCCAGGAAGTCGACGACACCTCCGGAGGGACTGACCGCTTGGTTGCCTCATGACTTCATCCATCAGGGGTGCCATATGCCATTGTCGCATAATGTCCCTGATGGTCTGGCCTCGCGGAATTTCCAGCAACATGTGAGACGTATCGGCTAGAGCAACTCGTCAACTGGGGATCATTGTCGGCGGCCGAATAGCTCGAAAGGGGCGCCTTTCCGGGCTGGTTCCTGAACCTTGGCAATGATTCCATCATCATTTTAGCGGCACTTGAGGCGTCCTGTCCCTTCTGCCCCAGCTGCTGCACAAGCCTCGAAGCGTTGGGAGTCAGGTATCCGTAGTCAGGAACATATGTCTCAGACAAGCCTTGAAACTTGCTTCTTGGCTTTGCTGGAAAGAGTGCTGACACCTGCTCATTGCGGCGATCCATATCCATCAATTGATCCCTTTGGTGAGCGGGACCCGTTCTTTGCAGAGCAGCGCTATACAGACCGCGATGCCTGACACTTGGCATGCTGCATGGCTCTCCCATTCGAATCGCGGTGGCATTGGATCCCGATTGATCGAGGCCGTGCACACCTTCCCTTCTGTGCTGCGAGATGGAGTCAAACGACCATGATCTGTTTATTATGAGTATCCGTACCGAGCTGGCCAGATATCGATGGGGAGAAGACGGCCGAGGTAGAATTCTGCCGGTGTATTGTTCGAATCCGAGTAGTAATCAAAAGATCCACCCGTATTCGATCGAATGAGCAGCCATTCGTTCTGCAGCCTGAAAGAGGCACAAAGGCGGTGTGAGCAAGACACTTGCCCTGTGTGGACAACGCTGCATGCTGCGAGATTGGTTCCAGCCTCACGAAAAACTCAAAACCCCCCCCCTCTGGCTTGGGCATCAAATGACAGACACGAATGCCTCCCGAAATGCAAAGAACAGCCGAAAGTGACCCCGTTCTAAACATCGGTGGGCCTGTTCGATGGAGAAAAATCCTTGCTGCCGAGGTGTGCTTCCGATATTGGCTGGGAAGTTGTGCGGCGAGGGATCAGAAGAGGGCACAAGCTTGTCAAGGCTCGAGAGAATTAGAGAAAGAGAGGAGTCGTATATGACCAGGCAGGGGAATGATAAGAAGGGAAATGAGGAGGAAAGCATACGGCAACGATCAAAACCGAAATCGAATGAGGAACCGCTTCGAGCCTCCAAGGCGCCGCTATCCGCGATAAAGACGCGGAGGTAAATCGAGGTACCACGCGATATTACCTTGCGGCTGTGAGGTTAGCACGATGACAACCTTGTCAAGCCAACCTTGGTCTTGGCCCATCTTCTTCTCCTCATTGCCCTGTAACGACGCTCACAGCGTTCACCAACAGCACCTCAAGTGATCGACCAGTAACTCGTTGCCAGCACAACTCCAATCGAGTATTATCTGCGGCTGTGCAACAGTGCCCACGAAGATATGCGACAGCCCACGATGGCTCACCTGGGCTTGTCCAGGCGAGACGGTTCGTAGGCGCTCATACGATAGTTGGACAGGGTCAAGCCATTGTCCTATGGCGTGGGTTGGGCGGTAGGACTGTCGTGCTCTGAACGGCAAGGTCTGCACATCAGTGGATACTTCCACGTGAGGCAGCATCGGCCAGAGTGCAGACATCGGGGGCGTACAAAGTTTTAGTCTGCACGTGGAGTGCCTCGCTGAGGTGGTATTTGAGCTTGTCAAGGGACGTGCGAGCAGAATCCCAGGCCCATGCGAGGAGGGCGTGGAGGGGTAGACAGGCCCTAAAATCGTAGACACTACGGAGTACTGTATGGTGACTGGCTTCTCTCGCCTTGATCCAGTCTGGTCTGACTGAGTGTTGCAGCGATATTCGGTCGTCCGCTGGGGCATGACGGCAATCCAACCATGCCGGGGCCATGGTAAGCTCAGGGGTCTTTTTGACTGGCAGTTGCCCAGACAGATTCGACGACAAGAGAGAAAAGGGCGGCAATGAGACGACCAACCAGCGGCGGCTGACATGGATGTTAGCCAAGGGAAGAGGAGTAGAACAGACCTGCGAGTGGCTGTTGTTTCTGAGGTTCTGCATCCTTCAGGCAATTGGAATCGCGGCATGGATAATGCGGTCAGAAACTTTGGGTCTGATGACCTTGTCCTGCTGCTTGTCGTCCCGAGGTATCCGCGCGACCTCGTTCCGACTTCTCGTGTTCCTCTGGGACCCGCGACCTAATATGGGTCTATCCTGTCTAAATGTCGTTTCCATTGTTTGGCCTCTTTGCATGGCTGCAATGAGCATAACCGTATGAGAGGACACCTCTGGCCGCTTCTATCTCTTTCGCCCATCGACGCTGATAATATGCCGGCTACGGAGTGATATCTCAGTCGGAACAGGGTCAAATTATGCGCCGAAATGAAATGCGTGTATGATAAAAAAAAAGACACAAATAGACTGGTACCGTTTGTGAAAGTTGTTGTCGAGCAAAGCGGTTGACGGCCCTGCTATGGGTACCGGCAAGATCACGTTTTGTGTGATTTAGAGAAATGCATGATTGAGATTGATGCAAAGGATGATGCCGATACCGTGGGTCATGATGGCGACAATTCTGAGAATGAAGTGTTTGGACGGCTCAGGGGAGTGTGGCTACAGGCTGACGGGCGCTTGCCGCTGTTATTCGGGCGAAATGTACGGATGGATATCTGACGGCGCACGTTATGCCGCTTTGGCTAGTCGCAAATGGTTGGATTCGTTGACAGTTGAGCGTGCGTAATAAGAGATAGCCAAGTCGCGCGCCTACATGTCAAAAGTTGACATATTGCATGCTGAAGTGACTTCTGGGCGGGTGTTTTCCTCGCGTATCCGTACACCAACTTCATGGAGGCTCTTGCTGATCATGACTAAAGGGCGGCGCAGTGAGTAACTACCTAGTTGTCCCGGACCACTGGGCCGGACGACTTGTCGTTGGAACAAACGTGCAAGCATGTACACATCGCCGCTAGCACGTTTGGTGGTCGTCCCGAGGATGGATTGGCGTTGAGCATCCATATGGAGTATGGGCTTGCGTGTACGGAGACGGTGTAGGTGCTCTGTAGGGACGTGGTAGGTATGTAGGTGCGAGGTCAAGGGCGAGAGAAAACGGCCTTTGGACTGGTTTGGTTTGGTTTAGTTTTGGACCGGTTCCCGTTCCTTCGCGCGGGCAACCAACAACTTTGGAGAAGAAGCAGACACTGTGCCCCTCCGGGGCATTAACGCTTGCTTAGTCGAGTCCCAGCGGTTTGGGTCGCTTGAGATCTGTCGACGCCCTAACCTTCGCGACAGATCACTCTAGCAGCGGGCTGCGTTTCTTGGTGAACCCCCAAACCAGGGTGTCGGGATTTGCCTAGTTCATTCGAGTATAGCCCATAGATTGGGGATTGGGGGACCTGAGCTTCTTGAGCACGCAGTAGCCCTAAACGCACATTGGCGTCGGTTCCTGGGCTGGCGCTGGCGCCGGCGCTTTTGTAGGAGCCGCGGCCACATTGGCATTAACTTGAGCAAGACTGTCTCGACATGCCTGGACATGGGACAGACGGTCGGTAGCGTGCAGGTTACGGGTAGAAAAGAAGCCCGAATTGTTGGTGAGCCTGGCGATGATAGCAAGCAAGCTCGCAAGGGCGGTAGCGTGTGGACAGCAGCGACAACGGCGACAACGGCGGCAATTGTGCTGTAGTGATTGTAATTTGTGACGCATTCAATTGCTTGCAGGACCGGGGGGCATTCAAATTCGTATCGGACGCCGAACGACTCGGCTGTGAAGTGAGCGGTGAGAGGTGTGACTGAGCGTAAACATTTCAGTGACCGGGGGGGGGGGCAGTTTCGAAGGCGAAAGTCGAGCACGTATTCGTAGACGATGATTTGAACATGGAGACAGGCAGGGCGCAGGCATTGCAACGGTAGGTGGCGGTTAAGTTGGTGATTTGCAAGCAGGGAGTCGGGAACCGGGAGATGACAGACTGAGGTGCGCAACCCACGGTTAAAGTGCCGTGGCATGCGTGCGTGCACACTCCGTAGTCATACGCAGAAGGACTCGCGGGAGGATGGGTGTTCCATTGGGCAAGTGGCGAAGCGGACGAGAGGCGCGGCGGGCACAGCGGGAAAGAATGACCCAAGAATAACGGGAAGCAAATGTCACTGCGGGATTTTCCCGAAGTCCCGCCACTGGCAGAAATGGGACCTGGAAGGTTCACATTTCGAAGGCAAATGGAAGGAATCGTGAAGACGACTGGAAGCACTCCTTCTCCGCTCTTACTCAATTGAACCCGGGAAAGAACAAAAGTGATTAGTGCCCGCAGAGTAAACGTATCTGTACTTGCCTTTTGCCGTTCCATGCCATAGGTCAGCTGACAGGAGTTCTGCCTGAGGTATATTCAATCAGGTTGTGCTGCGCAGGCAAGTGGTACGAACATACCAAAGTTGAAGGTGCCTGCTTCATGGAAGGTGAGGTGCCGCAGTGGTACACAGGACTGAGGGAGGTACACACTTGAGCAGGAGCAACAGGATGACGATCTGGTCCAATCAGACGTGGACGGCTACATGCCCGTGGAAGTAGCCTTCACCTTGATTTAGAGCAAGCTCACCGAGAGCAGGTATCCGTACGGTTAAGTACTACCAGGGCAGACACGACCGCTTCCCAGCGGCCACTTCCGGCTGAGGCCGTGCCACGGTCGTCCGTCCACCTTCACCGTCACCGTCGCCATCGCCGTTGTCACTCAGCAAGAGCAGTCGCGACTCGCTTGCAAGTTCCAGCCCTTCCATTCTCACAGTATCGAGTATGGATGCTTCCTTGTCCAGACTCCAAAGTCCCACCTCAGCTTTGGATAACCGCAATTTTGTTTTCAGTTCCGCCGAGGCATGTGTACTCCGTAATTGATATGTGCCATTGTTACTGCCCAGTATCCGCCTCCTCCGAGTCTCGACTCCGCATGCGTCTTTTGGCTGTCTTGGAAGGCATCTTTGGTATGGAGTCGCGGAGTACCCACTTCTCACCACTTTGCAGTACAAATTAACCTGGACGGCAAGGTATGAATGTCGAATACTCGCCGCCGCAGTCAGACAGGGTCGCAGGCTGTCACAATTAAGCGAGGGGTAGCCAGGAGAGAAAAGGAACAAGCCCTCACATTACATCCCCTGCTCTCTACACCAAGTCGCTTGGGTTTCTGGGAAGCCGTCGTTCAGGGTCTCCCGGTTCTCCAGCCCTCTGGAAATTCTCTGAAGCAAGGAGAAGGGAACTAACTATTCGTAGTGGGCTACAGCCTACTGACCTTACATACAAACAGGGCGGGGGAAGCAGCACACTGTGGTGATTGGCATGGTGGAGGGTACGGAGGGGAAAAGGAGAGGGGAGGGGGGGCATTCCCATGGATGTGATGCAGGGCAAGCTGGATGCTGCAGCTACTTGCAAGGAACTCAATAAAGGTTGCCTAGAGGGCTGGGCCATCCCTTCCTATCTTTTACCCCCCAATTGCCCCCCTTTCCCTCGACTTCATTGACTGGGCGCTTGACCAGGACCTCGAGCCATACCAAAGCTGTGCACCACGCACTACGAAATACGGAGTACGCATACAGAAAACCTCGAATCTGGTCGTCTTCAAACCCCGGCATCTGAGCCCCTTCCCACCTCGTCTCGCGTTTGGCTCGGTATTCCTGGTAAATCCGCCCCCGGCAGATCTCAGCTGCGACAAAGTCGACGTGGAGGGGTGGCCTATCCGTCCGTCGTCCCCTCGCGAGGTCGCCCGGCCTTGATGTGCCCGACGACAGGGGAATGCACAAGCGAAGGGAAAATCCCATTTCCAATATCGAGGAAGCGGATGCCGCTAGCTGCCTTTCCAGTTAGCACCAAACAGCCCTCATCCCCGAGGCTATTCTCCCCAAGCGAATCCTGACCCTCTGCTCTCCAAGGAAACCCACCCTTTATGAATTGGAAGCCAACAAGGTGTCGATTGTCGATTGTCAATTGTCGAATCTCCGGCTTCCCAAGGACCTCGTCGTAACGATTTGCGACACCTTATCACTACCAGAACGCGGTACGTGTTCTCTGTTTCCCTACAGCGTGTGAGAGAGTATCTCTACCCAGATGGTGCCCCCGAGACTCCATCGTAGATCGAGCTTCGCCGCGAAGCGAGTGACGATTCCTTGACGGATTTCGGCAAATCGATCGGAAATTCGCACTCGCGTCAAAAAGCCTACCTACCAAGATTCAGGTTCCAAGATCGCAGAGATGACACGAGCTTCCATGTTCGCACTGAGAGGCACGGATAGATTGAGGTCATCAGGCTAGCGGTGTCCAGCCGTCCTCTCCAGTGCGGCTGTTGTCTTAATTGTCCACACGTCCAATCGTCACCGGCCTACTCGACTACGTCGCGTCGCGTCGTGTCTCGCTCGCTCGCCCCTGGTGGATGGGAAACTCGAGACAGGATGAGCCAGCCTCAGCGTTCGTGTCTGAACCAGCGCCAGCGCACATCTAGGCCCTAGCTTGGGGAATCGTTTGACAAGTCGAACTTGCGGGGAAAACGCTAAGATAGCCCCCGAACTACTGGTTGGTGACAGGGACAAGCTCGACATCAGACACTTTGTGTCAGGAGACACGTGCCGTCTCAAGCAACAGGACTTACAAGCTATATCACTCCAGGGGGGCTTGTCTCCAGACTCTAGATTGAGTATCAAGAGGAGACTGTGACTCCTCTGGTGTAGTGAATGGAATCTTTCGGGTACCATTCATACCCGTTTCTTGGTGGCGCACTCTTGGTCAGCTGGAAGGGGCTGGTTCATAAAACGTCTGCTGATCGACGAAATTTCTACGTCGCAAATACGGTGGTGGCTTCTTCTGCTACAGCTCAAGCCCCTCGTCTCCAACCTAGTCGTCCACCAAGCCGTTGGAAACGTCCGGTATTCCGTCCTCGAGGCTTGACCAGAGAATAAGTTGCGCCTTCGTCCCATCAGCAGCTATTCTTGTCGCAGCCCCGTACATGGACGCAGCTCAGAAAACGACCTTATGGGCTCCACACCAATTGACAGATCAAGTATAGGAAACCGCCAAACCCCTAAGCATTATAGTCTTGGGGTGATCGCCAGACCAGAGAGTTTAGACCACCGTTTGATCCCAAGCCCTGGCCCGGCGCGCCAAAATAACCTTTGCGACGCGACCGAGGCGCCAGCAAGATCCTCGGCGACTATACCAATCTCTAGAACTTTGTCAAAGTGCGATGCTGCGTGCAGGCTGCTATTGAACTCGCGAGAAAAAGCACAGGATCGCGCAGCATTTGTGCGGAAAGAAGGACCACAGCGCAGAAAAGGAGCAAATTTTGTCGTCAAGCAGATGTACACCAGACCGGACCAGGAGATAGTGCCAAATGACCGACGGTCCTAGAACCAGGTGAGGAGAAGGGAGGGAATGACAGTTTTCACTTCATTGCTGCTCACAGACCACAGGCCGCAATCCACAGCCCACCCGAATCCACTCGCTTGTATTTCGCACTTGGTAGTACAATCTCTGTCACGGGCGGAGAATATTCTGGTAGCAGAGCCCCGTCGCGGACGCCGGGGGCTAGTGTTGTGTTCAAGGCGCCGGGCTCAGAAGTCCCCGAGGCGTCCATGCTGTTTTCATCCATCTGGATCGACTCCAGTGCAAGCATTCCCTCAACTCCGCCCGAGTCAGGGTCCCACACTCGCGGAGTCTAGATCGCGGGCACCACACGGCAAGTTCCTCTTCAATGTCTCCCCCTTGGCCGGCACCATGAAAGGCGGCCTCTGCTTTCTTTGTTCTCTGTCCGTCGGAAGAGGACACGGACAAGCTACGGGGACGCGTCCAGACAACCGGCTGCTCCTTGCCCGATGCAGTCGAGTCTCAATCGCAATTGTCATTCCTCAGCTGCCGTGCCGAGACGGCCCCGGCGTTCGCGATGACGGATCCGACAGTGCACAATGGCATCGGGAGACGGCAGTGCTCGTACTGCTTCCTTACCGTAGTGCAGTCCCTGGCCATGGTCAGCGAACATGTATGCACAAACGAGGTACCCCAGGCATCTACACTAGGCTCCCATCTGCAACTTGGGACATCTGATTATCTGGGTCGCTGGGACGTGTGCATCTCGTCGGGTTTGGGTTTTGGTGATTCGGATGTCCAATTTTGCAGGTGCTGGCGGTGTTTCTGCAGATGCCAATGCAACCGTAACTGAGCATCTTGACGATCGACAAGGGCTTCAAGCTGAATGGCCAGTGATAGATGGAAGAGTCGGCACATCAGCCCCCCTCCGAAGCCTTCAAAGCCAAGGCGAGGCAAGGTGCAGGGGAGGAGGAGCATCAATCTTCACCTTGCATCGCTCGACCTGGTTCGTCGATGGCATGGGGGGGAAAATTGGAGGGAAAAAAATGTGTGTGAGGGAGAGAGAGAAGGAGGTGGACCCGGTCACGGACTCCTTCCCAGTTCCCACCCACTTCATCATTCATCAGGCTAGCGCAGAAAAATGGCGCAGATCTCTGTTCTCTGGGGCCTAGGCTCTTGGTATCCACTTTGGGTCCAGAGGAGAAGGAAAGACCCCACCGTCTCGCGTTCCTTACCTTCTCTCATCGCAGACCCCGGCATCCATGCCCCCCCGAGTTTCCCAAATTCCCAAGTCCCCAAGTCCAAAGCCAAGCACCAACCTGAAGTCGACATATACCTCTGACCATGAGTCTTCATCTCGCGAGACCTCGCAACTGTGCGTTTTACAGTGGGAAAACAAGTTTATGTACAAGCCCCACCTAGAGATATACCTCTCTCCACGAATATCCACTCTGGGCCGCCGGCGGGCCACCTGCCTTACCTACCGCAACACACACCAGATCCGACATTCCCACCTCACATGCTTGTCGCTGGGTGGCCCTTTTTTTTTTTTTTTTTTTTTTCCTTTGCCCTTCCTCTTGGCTCCTAATTCTCTGTTTCTTTGCGCCAGATGCTCGATGCAATTGGAGGTGAGGTGGATGCTTGCTTGAGAATCTTTGCTTTGCAGCTCGTCAGCTCACGTACCTTAGACACAGGGCCCCCCAGAAATTCATCACGATCCACGGCCGTATTCGTAGACGAACACCGTGACTCTGTCCCACTCGTCGGTATTTCCCTCGCGCCCAGCTGTCTGCATCTCAATTCTCGGTATGGTGTACCACAGCACGAGCAGGGCACCTAAGGTAGGCCACGCCGCACACCAAAGACCGTCAGCGGCTGCTCCCAGAGTCCCAGAACCCAACGTCAGGGGACCCCAAGCCAGCTGTGGGCATCCAAATGCACACCACACACGCACACACACCACAGGGCCACGGAGTCCACAATGCCACAAGGACCACGTCCACGACCAGGGGAAAGGAAAAATTTCAACCCACGGTGCCGCTTCTCTCAGCTCCGCGGCCGCGGTCTTCCGGCCCTGGACCTTGCCTGCTGGTGCCTCGACTTGCCCTGATCTCCTCCCACCAGAGACTCGACTTTCAGCTTGAGCGCTGTTTGCTCGGTACCGAGGCACACGTTACCATCAGTTGCGCACGTTGTATGCCTACGCCTACCGCCTACCAAAGGTACGTCGATCCGTACGGTCTCGCAGTTTCACACCTACCTACTATACTACCGGTATACTCCGTACACCGCACACTCATTTCAGCCCGCGCTCCCGTTCCGCGACGCGGCTGTCAGTCTCCTATTCTGGCTCAATCTCCATCTTCCCCATCCATGTGTGATGTGCCGTATGGTGTGCCTTGTAGCCTACACTGACCAAGCTCTGTAGCGAGAACCTTACCCGCTGCCCTTTTCCAAACTTCAGGTTGCCTATGCAAAACCTAGGCTCAGCAGCCGTCGTCGGCCTGTCTCCCTCTCCCTAGCGCTATCCATACGCATGATCAAGGTCAACGCATCCTGGAGCGCTTGCAGGCGGTCGATTCGATGCGTACCTACCGCAGCCAACCCCCACACCATTCCTTCCTACGCTTAACTGTACGAGATACAAGACACAAGAAAGACGGTACTCGTTGTGCACCTAGGCATGCTTTCAGTAGCAAAGGGCATTGCGCAGGTTTTGACCTTGCTCGAAATCATGGCCAAGACCATGTCCAAGCCTTGGAATTTGCCGTCTGGAGGGAGTGCCACGCATCCGGAGGTGCAGGAGCAGGTCGTGCAGCATCCAGCTCGGCATGTCGTCGTGTTCTGGAGACTGGCTGTGCCGTACCGCGGACAGCATGTCTTGGGAGTGCGTGCGGATGTCGTGTCAGCCAGTCAGATGGCTTGCCATGCCCTTCACCGGCCACACGCCCCCCTTTCGCCGCCACAGCTATTTGATTCCCATCCGCTGGGAATCTCGACCGTAAAAATCCCAAAGGTTGAGCAGGGAACAAGGGCTCTCGAAGACCATGGTTGGGGCCCTGCTCGCTGGCTGCCACGCTCTCGTGGCTCTCCGAGTCTCTGCTTTCTCAACTGCGGCGGTCGACGGTCCGCTACTGCTAGCAACGCGGCTTTGCTCGCTGGCCAGGCCTGCACATCCACGACCGCCACTCTTACTATTAACCAGCCCTTTGTGTGCAGGAAAATATTGCACAGCAATTATGGCTGCGGACGGAGTATGGAGTACTCACGTCCTCGAAGAGACTGGGATCAGGCCCGAATGCGATTCTACCCTCGGCACCAAGGGGCCATCCGGCACCACCCATCTTGTTCCCTTCTCTCAAAGCATTTGATGTGGCGTCGTGAGAGGGGAGGGGCGGTCTCAACTACCATTCCTCCATTGAGAACTGGAAATCCAAATACCAGTGAAATCCACACCGACCGCTGCAACGCGGAACAAGTCATCGTCGCCCCATCCGATTCCATACACAACACAGCATCCTGGACTTTTGCTCGGTGAGTACAGAAGACGGTACGTTACGTTTGGTTCCATACTCTCTGGCCAGGTATTTGTCCGTAATCAACCTCTCTTCCGCAGTCGTTCTTTGTTTGTATGTTTCTTGTCGACCCCTGCTCGCGAGTCAAGACGGCGGATCCGGCACCGGGCAGCTGCAATTGCTCTCGGGAAGGGGTCCCGATCTTTAGGTCTAGGTAGTGACCAAGTTGGGGGCAAAGAAAAGAAGCTTTTTGCTCTTCCCAGTGGAATCCTTTAATCAACTCCTTTCGGCAGACTCCGTCACGCGCTGAGAGCTGGAAACAAGACCGAATGCCATCGTGCGATTCTCATAGATATTGACTCGAATCGACCAAGTACCTAGTCGACGACTCGGTGCAATCAACGAGACATCAGGTCACGGGAGCCAAGTCATCTTTCTCGTCGGGATTTTCGGTTTTCGGTTTTTCACGGGCCACACCCTGGACTCGGCATCCTGTCAATTCCAGGTCGAATAATATCATTATTATACGACATTTCTCATTCCTTCTTTGATGGGCGATAAGCATTACGTGCATAGAATTCCAAGGGCATTAGCAAATTTCCTGGCACCCGCGACCATCCCAGGAGGATTGGAGTACCGAAGATTATTAAGACGACAAGCAAAACAAGTGCAGGGAAGGCGCACGTTCCAGCCAGTTAGTTCAACGGGAAACAGCTTCATCGAGCTTGTGGGTGAGCAATATCGATCTGACACGCGACGCGACAAGTAATCTGTAGGTTGTTGCTAATTATCTAGAGCCATTGGAGTCTAGTCTCCAGAGTCTAGAGTCTAGACAAGAAAGGAGGTTTGGTCATTTCATTGATTCAATCGTTTCACCCGTTCCGGTCGAGTCGAGCGTCGTCCAATGGAGGAGAAGACTGGATGAGGATCAAGGTGCTGACCAAGAAAATGCGAAGCAAGCAGTGAAAGAAGAAGAGACGCCATACGCACAGCCAAGGTCTCAAGTCATTCAGTCAAGCCACCGTACTTTTGGCTAGTCCCGGCATCCAGAAAGCGGCGTCGCCAAGCTAAGGGATCCTCAGCTAGTGAGTTAGTACGCAGAGGACATGCGTTCCCAAGATGGTTTAGCCGCGAAGCGCACTTTCATCATGCCCCAGTATCAGCATCATCATCATCATCACCACCATCACCACCACCACCATTATTCATCTCCTGTACCCGGTATCCGTAGCGTAACATTGCGAGCGCCCGCGCCGACACCAATCTTCAAACACTGCAGTCAAAGGCCTCGGAAAAGTACCCGCCAGCTGCCACCTCATCTGCCACCTGTCAGCTCATATGATGTCCAGCTAGCTGCCTTTCTATACTAGATGCTCGGCGTTTCCTACCCGCACATTCTGCTGTCCAGTGCAAGCTCGAATGTCTATGGAATACCTAGGTGTCGACTGTGATGGAAGGAGGGGGGAGGGGCAGGCCAAAGGCCGTAGGCAGGTATGTCGGTACGTACCTCGTGACGCAGAAAGAGTTGGAAGCCAACAGCACTCCGTACGCAGTTACGTACCGAAAGACACTCTTGATGTCTTCCTCCTACGGACGGATACAGCCAGGATGCTTTTAGCAGTAAGAAAAGTTCCCAGGAAGGCACGAGATGCATACCCCTGCAAAGCGAGGAGTGAAGTCTGAACCTCACCCCCCGGTCCCGACGCAAGCAGCCCTGTGGGAGAGAGAGGAAAAGCACATGGAATATTCTCACCTGTCGCCTATCCGCTTTGGGGGGACATCATCAGTCTCCAAGCTTTTGCGTCAAGGGTATCGGTACGTACCGACTTCTACACCGTGTCCCCGGGACTGCAGCCTCCTTTCACACCCACCTTCACAGGGCGCGTCCTCTTCCCATCTTTCACGGCCGCAGTCACCTATCAACTCACATACCTCGAAGACGAGGGACGACGACTGACTGACGAAGACGATACAACTGACGACCACGTCTGTACCTCGGAGGATACGTACCTTCTGGTTTCTGCTCCTTCTGCTCCTGAGTCCTGACTCCTGACTCCTCACAGGCTCACACCTCTTTTCCATCTTTCTATCTGTAATTGGGTATTTGCAAAGGAAGGGGATGAAAGAGAAATACCTAGTCACGGAGACGGGAAAATCCAGATAGACTGAGCGGGCAAATGCCAAAGAAAAAAAAAAGTACTCCCCCCTTCCCCTCCTGTTGCTTGATCGGCTCCTCTTCTGAAGTTCTGGGTGTGTGTTTTCCATGACCATCTTGTGCCAATTCACCAATCACTGCTCGCACTCCCCCGGACTCGGTCGTCTGCCCAGTTACATTTCGGAGCAGTCTCGTCGTCAATTTTCCATTTCCTAGGTATCCCAATAATTGCTGCCCTGACTGCTCACGGTGATACTTCCTTTCTCCGTAGATACCTACCAGCTTATACGTAGACAAGGTACAGAGGAAGATAGCCCCCCTCTGCTCTGGCCTCTGGGCTGTAGTGTAAGCATTGCCAATTGGGCAGGGCAAGAGCAGCAACCTTGGAAAAGGCAACCACAACCACGATTTGGACCTGGAGGCTGGAGGCTGGAGAGTCTGGAGGTGTCTGTCTCCCGGGATTTCACCCTTCCACCTCACTCATCCATCACATTCACTCACCCCTTCACTCCAGTCTTCACCCCCTTCACGGTTCACCCTTCATCCTTCCACTCTCCAACGCATCCTTGCCCACCGCACACTCACACTCACAGGCCCGTCGACGCGTCTCCACCTGCTGCAATTAGCCCTCGCGCTGACCCGTCACTCAGGCGGTCCATTATTTTTCTCTCTCTCTCTCTCTCTCCTCCTCAAGCTTACCCCATTCTTCCTATCCCTCTTCCGTCGCAAGTATTAAATTCGTCTTCCTCCCGGGAACGGCGCTAAGATCGAACTCCCCTCGTCATAAACCTTCATTGGGTTTACCCCCTTACCCCCTTCCTTAGCTTCGCCTTCCCCCTTCACATTTCCCACACACTGGTGCTTCACCGAGCTGAGCGAGAAGGAGAAAGAGAGAAAGAAAGACCAGACGCGCCAGAAGACTCGGAGAGAGAAACTCACTCGACAACAAGAAAAAAAAATTACCCCATCTTTATCTCGCTCTTCTTTCATCTCACTACACACAACAACCACAAACATACGCTCCGCCCGCGCTACTTCTCTTTCCTCTTACTAGCACCACGGGAAAACCGCACTACGCAAGACACACGCACGCACGCACGCACGCACGCTCTTTGCTTCCAGCATTCGGCAGCGGCAGCGGCAGCACGAGCACGTACCTCACTCGTCGACGTCGTCAAGTCGAGTAAAGTCGGAAAGACCAGAGGAAGGAGCATCCACCCTCCGCCACCACTCGTGCCCACCAGCCCACTCACCCACCCACCTTACCCTCCAGTATTCGTACACTACGTACCTACTTTCGTACCAAGGCCAAGGTCAACCACGCCCCCCTACCGCACGAGCATCGAGGCATCAGCACCCACCATCCAGCTAGCTACCGTACATACAGTCTACGAAGTATTCCTACACCTCTCTCTCTCTCTCTCTCTCTCACACCCGACACGACACTACCGTACCTTCGCCCAGCCTGTCGAAAGCTGTGCTGGCTGTACCAGGTTCTTCTCGCTCTTGCTGCGTACGAGTGCGCACTGCTCCTGCACCAACCAACGCATCATCCAACTCATCACCACCCTCAGCACTGCGGCACCGCGCTCAGTCGCTTCTTCTGCGTTGCAGCACCTGCATCCCACAGTCTCCTGCATCCCGCCAGCCAGATCAGACAAGAGTCAGTTGCTTTCTCGGGACTCCCATCTGCCATCTCGTCAAGTCAGGTCCCAACCTCTACACCAGGCCAAATCCAGACACACGCCAACCCCGATCAAAGAAGAGGCACACCCTACGCTATACGCAAAGAGGAACCCTTCGACATCCCATCCTCCTCGCCAACCCCACTCAACCTTTAGTCTCCCTCTCCTCGGTGTACGGAGTACCTACCCTCTCATACGCCTACGGCACTGTTCGCCGCCTTTGGCCCAGGTTCCATACACACACCCAGCTCGTGGGCCTTCTCACCCCTGCCCTATCTCCGATCCAGACGCTAAGGACTCGCTCGGCCTGAACTCAAGCGGAGAGCCCAGCCCATCCATTACTACTTAGCGCACTATTTTAGTGTCGCTCTCCCCAGGCAATACCGTCAACCTCTTTCTCAGCCAAAGCGAGTAAGAGCCAGAGGAAAAAAAAAAAAAAAAAAAGAGGCGTCCTTTCCGTGATCTGGCAAAGACAACACTATCCTTGCCACTTTGAGAGATCCTCGCTCAGGGCCGTGGCTAGCGACTTTGTTGTCATCACATCCCCATTTAACCATAAACCCGAGCCCTTGGGTGGCCCGCGCTATCTTGGCCGCCATCTTTATACACCATCGTCGCGCCGCCTCAAGTCTCACTTCACTCCCGGCATCAGTCGTCTACTACTACTACTTCTTCCATTATCCTTCTTTTCATTCTTCAAGTACAAGCCCAACCCGCTACCGCTACTTGAAAGACCGCTTCCTGAGCCATCCCATCGACCGCTCTTGCATTCGGAAAAGAACAGAAGAAGAACCGTCTACCACGAACCTGCGAACCATCTACCCGTTGGCTTGAGAACTAAGGACTCTCCAGCCATTCTTTGCGACCCAAGACGTTCCTCTGAACTGTAGCATGTTCTTGGTCCCAACGCAACACCAGTTCGTTGACAACCACGCATCACTGCTCTCTTCAGGCTCGCCACAGCTTGGAGGTTCCCGCCCAGAAGCCGCTGCCATCAGCTCGCTCCTGACCTCGCTCAGCACCTCTATGGAACGCAGTGCTACCGAGTACTCGCAGTCAGGTTTGCCTTCGCCTTACCCAAGCAACTGCGGCGACACCCGTTCTGAAGGTTCATCTGCAGATCACGCATCTGCTGCGCAATACGCGACCCAACAAGAGGTTCGCCCCAGCAACTACTCTACCTCGGCGACGCCCACCTCCGAGTACAGCGTTTACCCGCCTTCTGCGCGGTCAGGATCCTTCCCTGAACATATTCAGCGATCATACCATCCTGCTAGCAACCACAACGGTGGCAGCGGAGGCATGGCGCAACAAGCAAGCAGTCCGTCTTTGCCCCAGCAAGATGGCCGTAACCATCAGGTCCCTCTGGCCAAGTCTGACCATGATGTACCCATAGATCCGTCGATAGCGGCGCCGAGTCCTACCTACGCGTACGGACAACACTCTCCCTACGGTCCCCCTCCGGGAGACATGTCGCACTCCTACCAGCATCCCGCCTACCAGCCCCGTCCCGATTGGACCGGCTACGGCCAACACAGCGCCGGTCCCCTGACTCCCGCAAGTCACGTCTTTCCCCCGACACCGAGCTCTGCCCCTCCCCAGGGACGACCCAGCCAGGTAAGTGAAGCTAGCAGGCGATGAATTTCAGGTGTGCCAGCGCGTCAGGAGGAAAAGTTTGCGCCGACTCTTTTTACGGCAAGTCATCCGAGCAGTGCTCTGCGCTGCAGAATCTGTGAGGAAACCGTCCAAAGAGGGGGGGCTTCAGAACTGACTTGGCAGCACGGCCATTGGCGCAGGCTCGGAGGCTGGCACACGCGCGTATTCTCGTCCAATGGAGGAACCAGTGTACTGACGTAACAGTTTGGCAACCAGGTATACTCTTTCGTTCCGATCCCCGGTGCCCAGCAGCACAAGCGACCCCGTCGACGATATGAGGAGATTGAGCGCATGTACAAGTGCGGTTGGAATGGCTGCGAGAAGGCTTACGGCACATTGAACCATCTCAATGCACACGTCACAATGCAGTCTCATGGACAGAAGAGAACACCCGAAGGTACGTTTTGCAGCACACTTTGGATCCCGCGTCGTTGTTGGTTCCGTATTTTGTCGAAATCGTGCTCGCGTTTGCGCTGCCAAGCGGTACGCGGGACTAGCGTCGTACATCCCGCAGCTTAGCGAGCCGTGGTTTTTAGCTTGTTTGACCCAGTGCCATGCACATGGCCTAGTGTCCGCGACAAACTTACGAAAACTGCGCCAAGACATCTTTGTCGCAATGCATGGAGGCTAACATTTCGGGCAACAGAGTTCAAGGAAATTCGCAAGGAATGGAAGCAACGCAAGAAGGAGGAGGAGGCCGCTCGCAAGGCCGAGGACGAACGCCAGCGTCAAGCTGCGGCCGCCGCACAGGCCGCCGCCCAGAATGGTTCAGGTGATCCTCAGTCTGCACCTGACGGCTCATCGTCAGCTTCTGCATACGCGCCTGGTCGCCAGGTCCAGTTGCCGCCCATCGGATATCAGCCCTCGCAGTACCCTGCCCCCCCGTCCGCTGGAGGCGTTGCGCAGCAGCCTCTTCCCGAGTACAACGGCTCCCACATGTACTCTGCCAACTACCAACCTCAGTCTCCTTACGGCCAGCCGAACCAGAGCATGTACAACTCACGTGAGTTTCAAATCGTCTGTATGACTGACCTCGGCCAACTAACTGTATAGGCAGATAACGGTGCTCAGGCTTCAAGCCACTGAGGACGGCTGATCCGCCAACGAAAAGGGACCCAACCGTAATGATGAAAGAGGAGATGAACTTGTACATTATCGGGTTCCCTTTCACACGACGACAGCCACACATCCGTACATGTCTATACTACGAACTTTCAACTTCGTTTCCTTCAGCTACTAGACGCGCGGCAAAATTCTGGTTTACGAAGCGATATCCGCCAATTGATGGCTTTGGGATTTTCACGTTTCGATCGAGTACAC